CAGCCATAGATCCGACTGGAGGCCCTCCCGCTCTGCATCCAGCACCAGATTATTCGCATTCAACTGATCCGTCACAGACAGCATGTAGTCCAACGACAATCCAAGACCTCGCCAGTCGAGCGACAGTTCATCCTCCGGATCGGGAGGCACATCGGTAGGCGGGATGGTTGGGATGCTGTCCACTTCCTCAGCGCTGGGGCCCGACAGATGCTCCGATTGTCCTAGCGGTCGCTGTTGGCTTTCGGGCGTGGCCAGCTGCCCGTGTGCTGTGTCTGTGCTGACCGGGGGTGTTTGGTGCCGTTGAACCAAAGGTTGAACGAGTTCCTCCAGCAGCTCGATCTCGGATTTGCGGAGGTGTGCAACGCGGTTGCCACGCTCAATCATCTCGTTCAGCAGGCTGAAGCCGGCTTCACGGTAGGTCGGATCCATGGCAGCGTCGGGTAAAATGGCGGAGATGAGCGAGAGGACGAAGAAGGATGAGAATACATTCTCGAGATCGAATGGGAGGAACGTCTCTTCAATGGAGACAATGTAGTTAGCGATAGAGGGCTGGAGATAAGGGTGAGAGGGTAATGCGAACCCAACAGATTTTGATCTCGAAGAGCAGAGAGTATTTTGAGGGATTTGACGGCGGAATCAATGCATGCTTGGAGGAGGGTTTGCACCGGTGAGGATAGAGTGCGAAACTCGGCGCTTTCTTCGTAGCAACTAAGGCGTTCCCATAGAAGGCTCAAAACAAGCGGTCTTGTGGTGACGATGATGCACTGGTTATCGTGAGTATAATGTGCCGTATTGACGGCTCAGGACGGCTTACCAAATGGCATGACAGAGTCAGTCGAGTAGTGACGCCTGACAAGGCGTCCACTGAGTTTGCGAAACGGTTGGAGAAGACTTCGTCGAGCTCGCGAGATAAGTCGGACATCTCTTGTAGAACGGAGCGGACCTTGCGTAGGAATAGACCTCCCAGCGTGCCATCGGCACTGTACACGGCTGTCGAGTTTGTCAGCGAGACGTTGCCAGCGATCGGAGAATATGGTATTTACTGTTCAGAACACGAGCAGTCACTTGCGATATTCTGACGTGCAAACTTAGGACGGCCTCGTTCTGCGAACATGTTCGTGGGTCCCACAAAACGGCGTTGACATCCTCGTCGTTCACCGAGTAGGGCGAGCCCATCAAGGAGGAAAATTTGCGGTCCAAGATATATACCGTCCACCAGATGTTGCTCCACCGGGTGACGAGCTTCTGTCCCAGCTGTTCCACGGGCTGAGCGCGGTGAAGCCCCTCTACCAGAGCCATTCGCATAGAGTGACCAATCTAATCCAGTTAGTGAGAACCCAACAGTGTTCGCAAGTGATGTCTCACATAACAATAGGCGGTATCTCTCATATCCACCGAGTAAAAGTAAAGCGCAATGAGGGCTAACGTCTCGATAGCAAGAGTTGGATCCTGCCACAGCCCCGTGATATCCGGCAATAACGACATGGCTCGCGAGAAATATTTCGTCCACGAGGCAGTGTTGGACACCGTCCGCACTGGAGCCAAGAATGCTTCCCCAAATGCCAGTATGACCAGAAACTGCACGTACCACAAACGTGACTCTTGTACCTTCTCCCCCGCATTCTTGTAAAATTCGTGGAGATGACGGAGAAATGCGTCCTCATCGAAGAGCCGGTACATATTGCCAAAGTGGAACTGCACCGTGCTCACCATGTACAGGGCGTGCTCCATCGACGGCAGTCCGCTGGTATCGGGCACCTCCTCGGAGCTAGCATGCCGCCATAGTATCTGATACGCCTCGCCATCGGCCGCAAGAGGAATTGGCCGCTGGCTGTCGGGATATATACGTGCTTGAACAATGTTGAGGACGCGTCGACTGAACGACCACGTCGAGGTGGGTCCGAGGAACACTGCGCGAGATCAGTTGTGTTAATCCTGTCTGCTGAAAGTACCACGTACGCCACTTCCTGTGTTGTCGACCAGTGTGTTTGACATATGTTGAAGGGGAGACTAAGGGGTTGGAGGCAAATCGGTCGTCGTAGCGGTCGGAATCGAGAGGAGCTGGGGTTTCTGCGGCTTCTGCATTTTCATCTTCACAGACTAAGACGGTTAGACAAGGCTTCATGTCTGTACTCAGGTGGATCACATACCATCGAGAGCCCCATTGATGGTGTCTTCCCTCAATGAACGATGTCGTTTGCTGGTGGGTGAAGATGGCACGCCTTCTAGCCCTTCAACTTTGCGTTTCAGGGACAGGAAAAGCCTGGGAGAAAGGGATTGCGGTCAGCGCAAGCAAGGAGTGGTTGGTACTGTACATGAGTGGGCAAGTGAGGAATACTCTTCAGAGACGACAATCTTCCGATCCTCTTCAAAGACGCAATTCTGGCGACGCTGGCGACACTTATCGCACGGATGAGTTCCGGAACACTTGACCTTCCTGGAGCGACATCGTTGACAGCTGGAGTGTTTGTCAGCGCTAGGGTTGCTCGTTTGCTTTTGCTCCTATACCGAGGTCACGGGAACACACGCATTGCTGGTCCGTTTGGGACGCTGAGATTGGCTCATGGTATAGCTGTCGGGAGGGGAGAGATCTATCATATTCTTAGTAACCAACAAGCAGTCTCACCACCACTTTTGGACAGCGACAAGATGATGGGAAAAACATAAAGCACAATCGCCAGCTGTCGTCAGAGGACAAAAAGTGGCAGGGGCAACTTATCGCGGAGAAACCCCGATTTTAGTCACTTTACCCCGCATGTTATCAGCTTATCACAGCAACAGGATCTGGCCTCCATGATAAGACGATCGTTCTTGGCATGAAGCAAGGAGAATTGATTAGAATCTGTAAGGCTACTAACGATTCTCTACCAGGCTAGCTCCGGTCGGCTCATGCAGCTCGCTTCCAGTTGCGAACAAAACCGTTCCTCTTCCGCTAAGCGATCCGTCTTCATGTCTCCCGTCACTGCCGGCAGCGCCGGCCAGATCTCTCGCCCACCTTGGGCCTCTTCCTTCTGGCGGTGCTCCATTACCATGTCTCTCAGGCTTTGTTGGAAGTGAATGGGACCCTGTGTTGTTGTTATTAGCCTCGAATTGACCAGCAGGTGCGGTCAATATACCTTTTCCTTGCTCGGGTGGAGCTCGCCGTTGATAAACACCCCGGTACTCAGATTCGTCTGCACACCAACACAGAGCTCTTTGTCCTCCTCCAGAACCTGCCTATAAAATGCGTTGATATTATCAAACTCCTCGTCCGTGGCGTCGCGGTGACGATAGACTTCGTTTTCGATCTTGCTCGTGGTCGCGCTCAAGGGAATCATCCGCTGAATATAAAAGAATTTGTCGCTATGGCAGAAACGTTAACGACTCGATCCTGCGACCAGGATATTTTCCCGACTAATCAAACTTACGTCACTGTCACCGAGGTGGTGGGGAAAAAATATGTAATGGCGCGCCGAAACTGGGCATCGACATTGTCCTTGTTGAAGATATGATGCTCCATGTAGGCGGCGGTGGGCTCCACCCGATATCGCGGCAGATCCGAAACCCCGCTGATAAGCGGATGCGATGTCGCACAGTGATAGCACTCGTTGTAATTCTCAATCAGCAGCTTCCAGTTCGCCTCCATCTCCATCTCCCAGTAGTGGTCGAAGGTGTACTCCCCGGCGAAATCAAAATCTTGCATGCGCGGCTGCTCGTCGATCCGCTGGAAATCATCTTGCCACTGGACGTCGGGACTCTCGCCGGCCTGCAGATTCACCCACACGAAGCCGGCCTGGTCGGCGTGCACATGGATGGGAAGTAGCCCGTTTTGGCTTTTGTCAAAGTCGGGGACCGTCTCGAAGCGGGGTGCTTTGGAGAGGTTCCCTTTCAGCCCGTAGGACCATCCGTGGTACTTGCAGCTGAGAATGGAGGTGGAGCCGGCCCGAGCCTGCACTATGGGGTATGCGCGGTGGCGGCAGATGTTGTGGAAGCCGTTGATGTTTCCGTCGCGGTCTTTGGTCAGGAAGAAGGAGAATCCAGCAACGGTGAAGGATAGGAAGTCCCCGGGCTTAGCGAGACGGCTGGAGTGAGTAAGTAGGATCCAGCGTTTGGAGAAGATGGCGCGTCGTTCGAGCTCATACATCGCGTCGGAGCGGTACCAGGAGGCCGGAAGCCCCCGAGGCGGAGACTCCTCTGCGGTTCCTTTGGAGGTGCGCCCAAATAATCGCCACATTTTCTGTGTTTTAGGTGCAATTGTGCGTGACTTTCGTGCATTGTGGTGCTGCTCCAATTCTTATATAGCTCCAGTTCGCAATGGTGGGGGTGTGATGTCGATTCAAGGATGGGGGTGCGATACTCCCTGCAGGCATAGCATTGATAAGGAAGTAGCCCTAGCCTACTTTGACCGTCTTCCTCCATGGATATCAAGATATATTAGCCATGTATGTTGTGTAATGCTATGCTCATTCAGTATATTAAAAATTAACGACACGGATTGATTATCTGATGGCTATACTGGAAGCTTGATTAGAATCCGAGTGTCTGCTAAACAGCTTTGATAGTACTCACGTAAAAGATAGCTACAAAGTCATTGGTACAACTCCAGGTCCTATCCATTGAACATGGTTCAACCTGAGATCGTCTCAATGCATGTATGAAGAGGAAACAGGGAGGCAGACAATTTAGAATGTGACTTTGAATTGATAAACGTAAAATGGTAGATATAAATTTATAGAAGAAAGGGTAGAATAAATAGTAAGCTCAACGGTCATAAGCTTAACAGTATGTTATCTTGTTTGTATAGAAGCGTCGGCTCCACTGAACAGTTGTAGACAACGGTAGAACAAGGAGTCCAAACAATGACAGACCAGCAGTCTTCTGGAAAGTATTCCCGTGACACAGCGGGCATCCATGGATCATCGACCCAAGAGTTGTGGATGCCTAACTACGAACACCTCTTCCCCATCCCTCCCAATAGTCCGCTGGACGCCCCCATTTAACGCTCAACTTCCACTGACAAGATGTCCACCACAATCCCAACAATCGGTCTCTCCCCTTACCTCACCGCAGCCAATAGCAATGACCCCCAAAAAGCCACCGTCATCGCCGCGATCCGCGAAGCCTGCCAAACAACCGGCTTCTTCCGCATCACCCACCACGGCATCTCCCCCTTCCTCCAGTCCGACCTCCTGACCGCCGCAAAGCACTTCTTCGCGCTTCCGCTCGCAACCAAGCGCCGGTACATCGATACAACCGCCCGAAAGGGGTACGAGGAGATTGGCTCTCAGACACTGCAGCAGGGAACGAGGCCTGACATCAAAGAAGTTTAGTCCCTTCGTTCCTCTCAGCCAACAATCTTCTAGCGGAACCACAGACTAAGCATGGTTGGGTGAAATTAGAGCTACATGGTCGGAACGGAACTCACCGCACCGAAGAAACCGCCTTACCGACCGTTCGAGTATCCTAATATCTGGCCTGACGCGTCCATCCTCCCGGAGGCGGTCTTCAAGGAGCCGATCTTGAAGTACCATGAGGCTATCTGTGAGCTTGCTCGAATTATCATGGAGATTCTGCTAAAGGGGTTGGAGGATGATTTTCCTGGGCTGCGATCGGAGAAATTGCTGCAAGATTTCTGTCGAGAGCCCTGCGCGAGCTTGAGGCTATTGAGATATCCGGGGCCATCGTCTCGCGGGGATGGTTCGACGGAGAAGGGCACGGGTCGGAATATATGTGTGCACAGAGGCGAGGTTGTGGCGGGGGCGCATACCGACTTTGGGGGTATCACGCTTTTGCTGCAGGATGGGAATGAGGGACTGCAAGTTTTATATCGCCAAGGGAGAAACGAGGACCAAGGAATAGACGGGGAACGGGAAGCGGAAGCCTGGGTTGATGGTCCATCCACGCCGGATGCTTATGTTGTGAACATCGGAGACATGTTTGAAAGATGGACCGGGGGCCGGTATCGGAGTACCGTTCACCGGGTGGTGAATGTCTGTGGGAGAGAGAGGTACTCGGTGCCGTTTTTCTATGATGGAAATCTGGATTTTAAGGTTCAGCCCTTAGACAAGAAGGCCTCTTTGAAGGGGAAAGGTCGTGAGGTAACGGTCAGAGAGTATTTGATGAAGAAGTTTGAGGAGATCTATCTTTGATGCAAGCCGATACTCAATAGTGGCCATCAAAGACTGAATCCGAGAAAATGCAAACAACGGAGAACACAGTTGTTATGATGCTTTGACGAATCATAAGCGAAGGATTAGAGGCTTTGTATTGAGAGATAGAACGAGAAGAATTATTGTTGTATGTTGGCCATTACAGGCCGAGATCTACACTCCCCGCACGCTCCATGAGGTGCATTGGGACAGTGGGCCCCAAACCAACGACTTGTGGTAAACGTGCTAGCATAGCAGGTACCTGGGTGTTTAAGCCTAGTATCGCCACTTGCTCTCCCAAAGTCTCTCCATCTCTAAATGAAAATCATTGCCTTCGATTTCTTCGAACTTTCGCCACAGCTTGTCTGCACCAGGAACAAAATCCGGGCCCGGCACTAGAATAGCTAACCCTGCGCCACCCAATTCTGTCCTATAAACTTCAAACCCCTCGGAGGTCAAATGATCGATCCCCTCCTGCAGACGCACACCGTGTGCTTGTGAACTGAGTAGAGTAAGAGAACATCCCCCGCAGCCGGCGCCAGTAAGCTTTGTCCACCCAAGCCTCTGATGCGATAAGACCGTGCGCACTCGCTCAAGGCGAGGGTGAGACGCCCCCAAAGGCTGTAGGAGTTGGTGATTGATTTCAAGGAGGGTTCCCATTTGCTCGATGAAAACTGGATCGGGTTGCTGTTTCGGTGCTGCGACGAGCGTCTTGCGGATCAGCTCCGTTGTTAGGTGAATGTAGTCAATTATGCATCCAGCGCCTCGTTGGTGGGACCCGATCCATTGCTGAAAACTCTTGACAGCGCTCGCGGTCGATCGCATTTGACAAGTATCAACGACAAGGATCGGAAGTTCCGGAAACTCCGCAATCCGGTCTATCGTGGGTTGGGTGAAGTTGGACAGAGCATCTCGCTGGAAGTACAACGCCCCACCTCGGAGCGAGGTAGCATGATCCACACCACTGGGCGCTCCATGAAAGCATCGCTCTCCTAGATAGCTTGCTTGATCGATGGCTCTCAGATCTTCTTCTGTGCACAGTTCGTTGTCTCTGGGAATGATGACGCCCGTCTGAATTAAGATAGCTGTCGCAACCACTACTGAGAAACTTGCACTGCTGCCCAGACCAGCCCCAATAGGAATCTGCGAGCGAAGAGTGTAGGTTGCACCGGTTGTGGTACGGGATGCTAAAGAAAGGTACATGTATAAGAATGCAAGAACGGCGCCGTTGGGATCTCCGAGCTGACGCTGAAGCGCACGGATTACGGAGGCTGGACTATTGGATGACTTTGTGATTCCCCATGGCAAGGTATCCAAGTCCCACGTACAGTTGAAGCCAGTGTCGGTCAGTCTTAGCGTGACTCGTCGATCGCTTTTGGGGCGTGGAGTCACTAAGAGATAGGAGCGGAGGCCGATTGCGGCGGCGATAGCGGGTTTACCCCATAAGGCGGAATATTCGCCAGACAAAATGACCTTTCCAGGAGCAGAAACGACAAATGGACTCATGGTTTGAAATCACGGAAGATCACGATGAGACTTACTCTATGCGAAAATATATATCCCGGGTGTTTAGAGATACTAGGAGGGAAGATCCGGTTGTCCCGGATGATCGGCTGGCCAGGGATTCATCATTCCAGCACAAACAAACGCTATGTCTAGCTCTAAGCTATAGAGTGTCAACTCACATAAAAGATGTACTTTTCTGGTTGTTGGCACACAGTTGAGATTGATCGATTCTATAGCATTTCTTCTCACCATCACATATTTCAACCTTTCAAGATGATCATGTCTCCGCTCCTAGGGCTCATATTCTGCTTCTTGGGACAATGGCTCCTCCTACGAACAATTTATCGTCTCTACCTCCACCCCCTCAAGAAAATTCCTGGCCCAAAGCTGGCGGCAATCTCACATCTCTATGAATTCTACTACGACATCATCAAGGGCGGACAATTCATTTACGAAATCCAGAGAATGCACAACCAATACGGTACGCACCGATTCCTACTAATTGTATGTGTCGCTAGCCCTGATACAAGGACCATCTTCAGGACCTATTGTCCGTATCAACCCTCGTGAGGTCCACGTCATTGACCCGGAGTTCTACGACGAGATCTACGCTTCTGGTAGCCGCAAGCGCGACAAGGATGCTCGGTTCGTGCCTACGTTCACCCTACCGACGTCGATGATTGCGACCGTCGGCCACGATCACCATCGGTTCCGACGTGGGATTCTGGCAAACTACTTCTCCCGCCGGTCCGCTTTGGAGCTCGTTCCTCTGGTTGAGGAAAGAGTTCTCAAGCTCATGGATCGCTTGGACGGCTTCCGTCAGAGCCAGCGCGTTGTACGCCTGGATGATGCCTTCGCCGGGTTTGCGGCCGATGTGATCACCTTGCACTCCTACGGTCAGCGATTCGGATTTCTGGAGGATAAGAACTTCCGATGCAACATTCGACAAGCGGTGGGAGAGATCACCGTCCTGAGTCACTACAACCGGTTCTTCCCCAGGGTAGTGCAAGTCATCGAACAGCTGCCCCTCTGGCTTCTGTCGTGGCTACAGCCGGGCAAGTCCAGTCTGTATGACCTGCAGCGGACAGTCTATGCGCAATCGCAGGAGTCGATTGCCAAGCGAGCATCAGGGTCCGAGTTACGCCGATCGGTGTTCACCTCCTTGACCGACCCCAAGGTCCCCCCACACGAGCGCACACCCCAACGTCTGAAGTACGAGGGATTCTTGGTGCTGGCTGCTGGAACGGAGACCACCGGTCGAGTGTTGACGATCGCGGCGTTCCATCTGGCCCACAGCCCGGAGATATGTGATCGCCTTCGCGACGAGCTCAAGCAAGTCATGCCCACGCCGCAAAGCGCGGTGGGATTCCCGGAGCTCGAGAAGCTGGCGTACCTGGTATGTTACACCTGAATGATACTGCGGACACATGTGTCCCCGGGCCTGACGAGGACCCAAGACGGCAGTGATCAACGAAGCCCTCCGCCTTGCGTCACCTTTGACTATTCGACTCCCTCGCACCGCACCCGATGAGACGCTGAAGTACAAGCATCATGTGATCCCGCCGGGAGTATGTGCATTCTTGATTCTTTCCTCTCGCAGTGGCAGTGGCTCTGCTGACGCAGACATAAACATAGACACCTATGAGCTCCTCCTCGTATCTGATGCATCGTAACGTCACCATCTTCCCTGATCCGGAGAGATTCGATCCGGAGCGCTGGCTGGACGGGTCAGAGCAAGACAGACGACTCACCCGCTATCTCTCGCCGTTTACTCGAGGTAGTCGGATGTGCCTTGGTATCAATCTAGCCTATGTGGAACTCTACCTAGCCATTGCTCATCTCGTGCGACGATTCGACTGGGAGCTGCATGAGACGACCCCGGAGGATGTGCGGATCGTGAGCGATTTCATATTAGGGGGCACCAGACGGGGTGATATAAAAGTCGATGCTAAGATCGTAGGCTGCGTTCAGGATTAAGTAGAGTAGTCCGAAGTACTGGTGCTGAGTCGATTAAATCACACTGCAAGACCGAATGACATGCTATCCTAACACATAGTGTCCCCACTACAGCTGTAACTTGTGGAGCAACAAACCTATTATTTTGAAATATTCCCAGTGCATGACATGAGAACAGGAACATGCTTACATCCTTTACCTATTGTCAATGACTACCCCAACGTAAGCATAGAAATATGCTTTGCCTTTGTTTTTGATTCCTTTTTCTCCTTCAGCCAGCACCAGAATCAAGAAGAACCCTCAAGGGAAGAAGGACAATTCAATTGCGCAACTACCACAATACCAGGCCACATAGTCCACTTTCAACCAGACAACTCCACTTCCATCAGCCGATACCTAGGATCGATATAATGGAACAGCGTCTCTCCATGGATCCACAGACGGAATACCTCCCGCAGCTGCGAATTCACCTCCAACCTCCTCATCACCGCCTCGTAGCTTGTGAACAGCTCCCAGGTAAACTCCTCCAGCATAGCCAGCGGCGCGATCCCGCGCTTCGCCGCGCCCATGTAGATAAAATTCGCGCGCTCAGACCCCACGACCGACTCCTTGTAAAAGGAGAGCACGTCGTTGATGCCATGCGCGAGCTGGGCCATCTCGGGCATGACCCCTAGCATGAGCGCTTCGACCGTCTCGGTGGGCTGGTCAGGGAAGAGGTGTCTGGCGGGCAGGAAGAGGCCGTACGGCTGCGCGAACCCCGTCATCCACCGGAAGTAGCGGGGGAAGTCGTCGGAGATCCGGTCCGGGGGGTACGCGTGGCCGGAGCTTTCGAGCCCCTGTGAGGCAATGGACTCGATTGTGCTGGCGACGAGCAGGTCCATGGTGAAGGTCCCGTAGTGCGGCTCCATCTGGGTGAGGGTTTTGGCGAAGAGCGCCAAGGAAGCCTGCGGCTGGGGTTCGCCGCGTAGCAGGCGTGTGCGGAAGAGCTGCACGTCGTGGCGCATGTCGAGGATCTGGTCGTCTAGCGAGATGAAGGCAGCTGTGTATAGTGCCGTCAGGATCTTGAGGTCCCATGGGTGTAGCGGGTAGAAGGTCAGGGCGACGCTCGTGGCGAACGTGGCGTAGCGGTCTGCCATGGCAGCGTTGTCGTGGGCGATGGATAGACAGTCGGGTAGAATGGTTTCCTTCAGCTTCGTGAAGTCGGGCTCGAGATTCGTCGTGGAGTCGATTTTAAAGTAGTCCTTCCATCGTTTGGCCAGCTGGGCAAATTCATCATGAGAGACTGGTCGATCGAACGCTTGACTGACGGAAGGAGTCATTTTGACAGTTGAAACGCTGTATTGTGCCTGCAAAAGTAGGTTCTAGGGAGCTTGGATGTATTATGTGTTAGGGGCGTGGAAAGTGATTCAATCAGGCTACATGAGGCTATCTGGGCAAAACAATCAACACTGGCATTGCGGGCGGTGAGCAGCCTGGCGATTGAGGCTTCGGGGTCACCAACGACATGCAGTGAGTGCATTACAGTATATGCACAGACTATGTGTTCTTGTGTTGAGGACTGACACCAGAGAGCCATTGTAGGGTTAAGCGTGGCCACCGTGCCGGTCTCCCGGGACATGTTACATGCATGGAGTGCGTGTCTCCCGGGTGTGAGGAAAGCCCCACCATGTCATCTGTAGTACAAAGTCAGTCAGCTTGCTATGCTTCTTCGAGGAGTCAGACTCAATTCTTCCAATCTGAGGAGGAAATCGATCTTGGCTGTCCAGACACCACCAAGCACCGCAACGCTCAGTGAACCGTCTTCGAATGTGATCTGTAGTGCCCTCTCTTCCGCCTTAACCATGAACAGCTCATCCGTGGAACAGCCTGCCGAGCACCCTAGTCAGACTCAGGGAGTGTCCGGAGAGGCCGTCGAGGCGCTGACTGTGGAGGACTTTCACGGCGTATACCATACTCTCCTCGCAGAAATCCGAGAATACCTTTCTCGCCTCGGAACCCCAGAGACAGTACTAGTCCGTCTACACCAGGTAAGAGCAAAAAGTCCTACCGTGTCCCGGGGCCGTTGCAGCAGCTCACAAGGTCCCAGTGTCTCGCCGATGTCACGAAAGGAGGCAAGTTGACGCGCGGGTTGATGCCACTGGAAGCCGGCCGGCGCCTCCTGTGCGGCCGACTCACCCAGACCCAGGCCACCGATCTCGCCGTGATCGGATGGACCATCGAGCTCCTCCACGCCGCATACCTGATCGAAGACGATATCATGGACGCCTCCATATTCCGGCGGGCGGGGCTGTGTCGCTATTTGCAACCGAACATCGGCATGAGCGCCATCGCGGATGCCTGTATGGTGAGGTCGTGCGTCCGGCACTTGCTGCACTCGCGCTTCGAGCAGCACCCCCAGTACCTGGAGATGGTGCACCTTCTGGATACGATGAGTTTCCACACCGACCTGGGCCAGCTGACCGACGTGCACATCGCCAACACTACCTTCCGGGCCTTCCACCACTTCACGCCCGAGATGAACCGCTTCATCATCACGAACAAGACCGCCTACTACACGGTCTACTTCCCCATCGCGTTCACGCTGTACTACCTGCGGCTGTCGACGCCTAATAACATGGCCTACACGAAAGACATCTCGCTGCAGCTAGGGGTCTATTTCCAGATCACGGACGATTACCTGGATGTCTATGGGGACCCGGCATCAACCGGGAAGGTCGGCACGGACGTGCACGAGAAAAAGTGCGCGTGGGTGATTACCGAGGCACTTCGGCGGTGTAGATCCGAGGAGCGGGGCTTGCTAGAGGAGGCATATAGCAATGGGGATCTGGAGCAGGTAAAGGCGTTGTTTGATGGAATTGGGATGCAAAAGGTCTATGTCGACCTGGCGAATAACTCGTACAAGGGCATTGTCGATGCGCTCGCTGGGATTGACGAGAGTGAGGGACTGGTGAGAGGCATTTTTGAGTTGTTTTTGTCAAAGATTCATGGCCGAGTAAAGTGAGCCTTTCAGGTGAAGTATGGATTAGCGCAACTGCATGTTCACCTGGTTGATATAATAATCCTACTAAATGTAGTCCATAATCACGGCTTCCGCCCTCTCCATGAGCCCTTCGCCTATTATTACTTCAAAGCTTTCAACCGATCCTCGAAGGTGATGACGAGCTCAATGAGCTAGTCCATCTAATATAATTGTCTTTTTCTCTTTTATGCCAACGATCTATGACCGACTAGCAGACAGTTCGATTGACATTCCGCAAACAGCTTTTTTCTTCGTGCAAGGTACAGAGAAAATTCCAGAATAAAAAGGCTCACGGAAAGTCAGTCGTGCTGGTAATATGTGCTCATGAATAAGTAAGTACTCATCTGTACAGTACGGTGAGAGCATAGCATCGCGCAGCTCGATAACGGGGTGTCTTGACTTTGATATATACACGGACATACCCCCCCCTAACACTAATCCAATGTCGGAAAGAGATCGATCTCTCCAAGGGCGTCAAACCCCAGATCCTGCAGACTCATGTGATCAAACGATTCCGGCAGCCAAAGTGGCTCTACGTTTAGCAGAGTGCTCATTCCCAGCTCCGTAGCCGCCCAGTCGGTCTCTGTGGAGACATCGCTGAGTAGGACGTCAGCAGCCAGCGCAGCAGCCGACTCGGCGTGGCTAATCTCCACAATATCCAGAGCTTCATGAAACTCCAAGACAAGCCTCTCGCGAACTTTATCCACAAAGCTCGTTGCGGCTGCTGTGTCCAAGCCGGAGAGGATCGTCTGCTGATGCAGGACCTTGCGATCGCTCCAGGCGCGGCGGCCGGCGAGGGCTTCGCCGATTGCGGAGACGATGTCGACGCTGCATTCGTCTGCCCCTGGAGCATCTGAAGGCTGAGCTAGGGCTGACGTGGAGAGCTGATGACTCCACCTTGTTGTATTTCCTCGAAGGTCCGCCGCATCCTGGGACAGGTTCACTAACGCATGAGATGCGAAGGTTTGTGGGAAGCGAAGCAGATGCGGCATGGTGAGGAGCAGATCCCCCGGTCGCATTCGGATGGAGCTCGGTTTGCCTATCTCTATCACACCTGCTGGTGAGTACTCGTTGTTGTGAGAAGGAGGGGCGAACATGGTGTGGGAGCCCGGCACGAGATTCACGCAGTGTTCCTCGCAGAAGGTAGGGAGCATAACTGTACTTTGAATATCACTCTCGCGCTGGACTGACCCTGGTACAGAAAGCATCCCGCCCGCTACCCAAGTAGAAGCGGAGTCCAGCGACCGATTGAGCAATCTCCACTGCCCATCCGGACGACAGGATGCGACAACCGCGTAGTACGCGGGATCTTGTTGGATCATTTGACGGAGAAACTGATAGCACTTTTGACTGAGGACCTGGCCCTGGTCGTCGGAGGCGTATCGGGCCAAAGTATGGCGCACGCGTGGGAAGATGCCGCGCGTTTCCATGTAAGCGAAGAAACCTGGAATATGAAGATACCCGTTTTGCTGGAGTGAAGACCATAAAGACGGTTCGTCCTTCACAAAACTCTTGAAAGCGTTGGGTATCGGCCTCTCCTGTTTCCCGGCCGCCGGCGTGGGTAAGAAGTCGGGGAAGTCGTCGGGCATGCTCGCCTCCTCGCCGTTGAGGGTGGATGAAAGTTTCTCAAGATCTTGACTCATAAGAGAACGATCTAGGTCCAGCCCATCTGACTGGGTTGCATGGCGATATAGCTGTTGTAGGTGATTCGTGCAGAGGCTTTCCCACGACATTCGACTCGCCCACTGGAGTAATCTAGCTAGAAAATGCGAAGTCCATTGAGCCTTGCTTTCAGCCAGAATGGCTAGGAGTGGGAATAACATAGGCGAGCAGGGACATTGGGTCTGGTCATCCAGAAACGACTTCTCCGAGACCATCGTCGATGGTCCTTGGGGCGAGGCTCCGTTCTCGTGGCTGTCCGATCCAACCAGGGTTGTAGTCGGGCTCTCGTGCCCGGTGAGAATGGAGTCAATCGAAATGACGGAATCTTGCACAAGCCGTTACTTGTTGTGGTCTTGATTGAAGTGCGTGGAACACGGATGACCTACTTTTCCTTCCTCGCCTGCCCTGGCGCGGCACCCGCATAGCCTCGAGGACTCGTTCAATGTCACTTGCCAGAAGGTGGGGCTGTGTCCGGCCCCTGCGCGGTCGCTTTTTCACACTCTCTTGAAGCAGGTGAACAGCCTCCGGGAGGGGTTTGAGTCGGCTGAGCGACGCCAGGGAGTTGAGTAGGTGTTTGCTCCAAAAGGGGGGTCGCAAGGAGGCGGGTAAAACCAGGTGGAAAGGGCTGTCCCAGTGCTGCGCGATCATGCGAGCACTGAGCTGCTTGGAGCGGTCAGATCGCTTGTGCCGGCGCAAGACTGGCTTGACATGCTCTTCAAAGCCGATGAAATGGCGATACTCGTCCAGACTGTCGAAACGGCTGGACCACAGCTCCTCGCGGCGAACGTGCTCCCAAGCTGCGTGGATCAATGCACTTATCCGCTCATCAACGGTTCTTCCTTGCCGGAGGATGTTTGTCAAGATGTCCAAATGCTTTGTAATGGGTTCCGATGACAAGATATGTTCTAGGGTAAGCTGAGGATTCTCGGTGGATACATCCGGAAGACCTTTTTGGACGCTGTCCATGTTGAAACCGGCTGTCTAAGTTGCGACCTCTTCATTCGGTTTGCTTGTTCAATATTTATGGGCGAGGTACGGCTTGGGACTTCAGCAAAAGAGCTGCAGGGGTTGCATCTACATTCCTGCTGAGAGGTGGCCTGGGTCCATGCAATGACATAAGGCCAATACAATTGCGCGATCTGGTTAGGCTGGATCTTGCAATTGCATAGCCGGCGTGATAATGGCGTACGTGAAGCCCCGAGGTTAAGAGATATCCGCTATCGATTGGTCCAATAGACACACCGGACGTAATCTCATCACATCACTGGCTGATTTCAGTATATAGATGATCTGCCGGGGTGCTGCACCGACAGCCGGGGCTCACACCGGTTGCCCATAAATGTATGAATATCTATGGGCATGCGACTGCAAGTAACTATGGATACGTATGAGCACCTACACCTGCATATGCACCTACACAACCCAGCTGAAGGATCCGATGGCTCCACCTTTGCGTTCCGAATCCCAATTCTTGATTGGTCCAAAGGTGAGATCGAGATCGGACCTCCGAAACGACAAAAGCAAATATACGTGTGTGATGAGGAGAAGCAATATCTACGCTGCATGATTGGCCTGCCCAAGGTTTTCATTTGATGAGGCCTCCCATTTTCCGGCTACTGGGTAGCCCTGTATTTCCATCAAGTCTGGACAGCATTGCATCATATCTTTCCCTAAAAAGAAACGATCTCATGCACTTCTGATCACGTACATAGACCCTAATATCTCTGAGGCAGCGACTAGAACTAACTCTGTGTGCGAGTACAATTGTTTGTTCTCAGACCCGGCTGGCTGGTTTTTGTACCCACCTATGAGATAGCGTGTGCTGCTCTGCTCCAAGTCCCAGACAGTATGGGAGGTGCAGATTACTCAAAGCAAGATTATCGGCAACCCCCTCTGTGCCGTGGCTGCCGGGAGCAGTTTCCGCTGAACCTATAGCTTCAGCGTCGAACCTTGCAGGGCAAAGGTCACAGCGGCTGCAGATGAACCAGTTCGCCACGAGGGAAGTAATGACAATCCATTCTCGCGAACCTCCAGCTGCTAGTGTCCACACAACGCATTGAGTCCCAGGTGCTATCGCCAGCCACCCTCCCTGAAAATTGTTTTGTTGTGGATCAAACTTCATACGATCTCAAACATATTACAATTTGAATATTATCTCAGAGCTCGTTTTGTCTTCTTTGAACCAAGATTCGATTGTTAAATTCGATCATCAAATCGTCTTTGCCAAAATTCCGGCCGCAGATCTACTTTCCCGCCTAACAATCACACTCAGCTTCTCTGCTCCGCCGGGGGGCATGCCACCATCCTCAAAGAACCTGCTTCCAATCACTCAAGCCTCGCGAGTCTGACTCTAACATCTCTGGCGGTCCAGTTGCGGAAGCTCTGCTGCAATATACAACTCGAGACCCAGCTCTGTGATGGGAACATCGGGCTCAACATTTCCACATCTGTCCCAAGCACTCAAGGCAGCTCGCCCCGCTTTCCGTCCACTACTGTCGACAACATCGAGCTGGGCAAGTTTCACATTATATGGGCGTTCTCGGTTTGAACAACGGTCCCTTGACTTATGCATAGCAGACCACCTTCAGTGCGGCGACTCCTGTGTGACTGGATGGGGTGCTGAATGCTTTTCAGAGACACGAATTCGTCCCAGACTCAACTGGCGAGAAACCGTCCACAATAGTGCCTCCGGACAATGAATTTGTCTGCACGTCCGTATACTTCACAGCTGTGCAGCGGCTGCAGTATGGCGTCCCTCACCTCTAGGAGTAGTTGGTCGCTCGGAGTCCCAGGATGCCCGAGTGTTGCGGAGGATAGTCCTGTGATGTATAACATTCAACAGCGATCGAAGCGCAACATACATTGCGAGGAAGAGATGAAATGGTATCATGAACAAGGTAACTTGGTATTTTTCTAGTCTGCTGCCTCAAGTGTTGCAAGTGATTAAACCACGACTCAGCACAGGCTTTAAATGACAGTACATCCGGCGAGATATTTGTTTGATAGTAGGGTCATCGTTGATCGAAATCGACTCGCCAACTCCCGGGAGGTTGACCCCGGAGGTCACCACTCAGGTCAGCGAACTTGCCACTGTGGCTTAATAGTGCTGGTAAAAAATGATAACAAGCGTGTTTGATTCGAACTGGGGTCTTACTGTCCGCATCCATAATCTTGTTTTCCAGATGGAAGAACCACTCATCTAGCACCGTTAGGACCTTTCCCAGCATATTGTGAATGTATACACATGTGACTTCTTGGCCAGAAGCACATATAAATGCATCCTTCTAAGATTCTACTCAGTGACATTGATGTGTGAATCGAGTACCTTCTTGATCGCTTCACTACTTGTGGATAAGGGCCTCCAAGATTCTTCGCCTGGAGTTGTTCTTACTTTCCCCTTCGTCGGCCTCATTTTACTAGAACGAGCCAAGAGCTTTAAATTGCCGCTAGGTGTTCTTATCGAGTGTACATGATCGTGCAAATAAACTTTGAACAAGCCAGAATTTACATAGCACGAAATCAGCAAGACCAATTCCCCATGCGAGTGGGTGGAGTATATGATAGTCACTCTCCGCCGATACGATGTGAATCTTGTGCGACTAGGACACGCCGATCTTATCCCCCCTCCTCTCTCCCCCACCGGCTCTCCATTTTGCCAGCTCTCTCTACTCAAGGCCCTACAAGATATACCGAAAACTCCGATTCTGAATATCCGTCTCATCCACCATCTCCAACCCATCATCCTCCCCGAGCACGACCCGTCGCACCTCCTCCGCCCTCACATGCACCCCTTGCTCGCGATCCCGCTTCCGATTCTCCCACGCCAGATACACCCTCAGCACCCCGGCCAACCCAATCGTAATCACGAAGCAGATGAGAATCGTCGTATACGCCGTCTGTTATCCCCCACACGAATTAGCAACTAGCATCATACCCGCCCAACCTCCCTTCTCCCATCCAGCCCCCGCAGAAGACCAGTACTGAGGAAACTTACATGATACCCCGGCGCCTCCGCACTGATGAAAAACTGCGGCCCGACCATATTTCCCACGCAGTACCCGACAAAGATCATCGCTAGCACCGTCGACTTCTTGGTGAATCCCGCCGTGTTCGAGGCGAAGAGACTCAACATCAAGGGAAACGAAGGGGCGATCGCGGTCACGAGCCAGAACCCCGCTAGCCGGGCGAGTTTGCGGTGCTCCGGGAGGAGCTTGACCATCAGGATCCCCGCCAGCGCCATCAGGTATACGCCGACCAGAGCGAAGAGGCGGGATTTCCGGACGGTGGAGGTGATCACGGCGACGAGGATGACGGTCGTCAGTTGGAAGGCGGAGGCGGGCAGGCCCATGAGGATGGTTTGGGATTCTGAGTAGCCGAAGCCGTTGATTATAAGGGTTGAGAACTGTTTTAGACCCGAGGGGGGGCAGGTTAGTTTGGGGTGGAGGATAGAGGGTATGAGGAAAAGTGAGGGTAGGGAGGGAGGTACGCTTGTAGTTCCGCCGTTGGGGACGCAGGTTACGAAGCTGAAGATCAGGAACCACCAGGATTTTGGATCTGTCAGAGTCTCCAGCAGTTGTTTCTTGTCGAGGTGCCTGGTTTGCGTTGTGCGTTGGAATTTCTTGGGGCGTAGAGAGGCGAATTCGCGTTCCGTGGCGGTTAAAAAGCGCGCGGTGTCTGGGCTATCTGGCAGATAGAACCAGAGGATGATAGACCAGACGATGGTGATCAGGCCGAAGATCAAGAAGAGTATCTACTCGAACTCTGGAGGTCAGTATCTTGCAAAGTGCTATGGGGAAAGATAGATAGACCTTCCACTTGGCAAAATCACCGGTGTAGTGCAGGATTCCATAAGCGATCATGCTCCCGATGATGCTGGCTGTTGCATTACCGGCGAACCAGAATGAGTGACGCGACATGTGCTCCGGGGGCGTGTACCACATCCCCGTGATCAAGGAAAAGCCTGGGCTGATGGCACTCTCAAAGATACCCAGGAATGTCCGGAGGACCATGAGCCCGGGGTAATCTTGGGCGCAGGCGTGGAGAGTGAGGACGATACCCCAGCAGAAGCTACCGCTGGGTTAGAGACAATTCTGGGCGGTGATTGGTTTGTTGGGATGGAGGGCATACATGAGGATGCTGAGGTATTTTCCAAGGGGAAATTTGACGAATCCCAGTGAAATCGGGTATGACGCGACGAGATATCCAATGTAAAAGATACTGGATGTCCAGCTGTATTCTTGCCCAACGAGGTGCTGAGACAGTCAGCCATCGATTCGCACTGCATTTATCGCCACACGTACTAAATCGCTCTTGAGTCCCAGAATAGCACTATATGACAAGCTTGTTTCTGTCCAGTATCAGCTTCTACAGTCCTTCCACTGCGAGTTAGGTTCGGGATGACTCACTATCTAAGTACTGAAGGCCATAACTTATGATTAGAAGCGGCATGAGGCTGGCATCATTAGCTTGTGGATGGAAGTCATATTCTGGCCCAGTACATACTGCAAATCTATCTTGTGCACCAATCTCTTCTCTTCTGCCGGCCCAAGTGTCTCTGCGGCGCCGTAGGCCTTGCCTTCGGCCACGTCTGCTGCATCGGGCACGGTTTGGTCGTCAACTTTCGACAGCTGGATCTTGTCTCCCATTGCTAGATACAAGCAGAAGCGTGTAAAATGAGGCCAATTCTTCGATGCAACTGACAGCCGGAAATGTCCTCGTGGATGAATTGATGATCATTGATATACGAGGAAAAAGGGTGGCCAAGCCAGAGTCGACACTAGCATGGGTTTTCCCCACAAAGATAGCAGGCGATAAATCAAGGGGCGAAGTGTCTTTGACATCAGTGTTCTTGACGTGGAGTCATTTTGGCGTGTAAATATGGTTGGTCAGATTAATCGACAGGCCGCAGCCGATCTCGGCCGGGCATGAGCGGTTTCCACGAGGGGGATGAGAGGCGACCCCGGATTCTAGAGACGCACGAATCACCACCCAGCATATTGAAGGACCCGGTCACTGAGATCTTTCAATTAAAAGCAGGAGAGTCTACTGGCAGACGAACGACCCGATGCATATCAGTCCCCCATTTCCCCGCAACAAATCAATTGCCGAACAAGAGCCATGGGGATGCATCCGCCAGATCGTCGTTTTGCCGCCAAGATGAAAGAAAAGGCTTCCCGAATTGCTACATCGGAGATGTTCCGATCCACCCACTCCCAATGTACCGGATCCTGTGTCTCAACCCCCAGGATCAATAAAGACCACTGAAAGCGTTCCATGAGCTGCACATGATTTCCTCGAGATATAGTGTAGTGCAAGGTCGTAACAAGTTCACTCATTGCGGACTGGACCTCGATTGGGACCGGCTTGCTTCCCCATGCAGAAGCGCGGCTACGGGTTAGGTAGATATAAAGGGCATGAAAATGCGCGACTGTGACCATGGCCATCAGGGAGGGGTCGTTTCCATTAGTTACGATGTCAAAGAGAGATGCATGCTCCTACATGATCATTTAGTGATACATCAGCAGCATCTGCGCGGATCTAGGAGCATACCTGGCGAATCTGATCCAGACGGCGCTGGATTTGACCCTGGACGGCAAGATCTGGCGTGTCACTTTGGCTATAGCGATTGATCTCGTGATGAAGCCCAATCATTTCGAAGTAAACATGCAACGTGGCTGCCTCGTCGACTTCATGGAATGATGTCTCTGGGTTTGGAGATGATAACGGGTCCCGAGCATTGTTCCACAGAAAGGCTGTGCGCGACAGGCGCCAGATTTTACGTAGCTGGTCTTGATAGGCGCTCATGTATGAGGCCAACAAGCCCCCGCATCCGAAGAAGCTGCAGAATCCATCTCTGTCGTAGAGGTAGACGAGGACGCGGGATAGCAGGACTTTGTATGGCACCGCGTTTGTGCTGGGCTTTGTTAGCGAGTGTATCTCGTCGCTGGCGCAGGCCTGAATTAGGTCAAATTCTCGAATGTATGCAAGCACAGTAGCGCTTAAAGCCCGGAGCTTCGATGGTGAAATCCGTTCTCTTCGCATCCAAAACATGAAGATATACAGAAATGAAAGCAGCAGCTCTAGATGATCAGTGGGTGCGACGGGGTTGCGTGCCTGGATAAGTAGCTCAGACCCTCGCTGCAAATGGAGACATGACTCCGGTGTCGGACGGGCTCCGTAACCAAAATGAATCGCGAGCTCGCTGTGAGAAAGGGCGAGTAGAAAATGAAAGGCCATTTTTTTGTCCCACGCGTGGTCGAGGAATAGCGAATGTGCTGATAAGGAGGGTGAACGAGAGGATTTCAGGGATGCGAAGACACTTCGATGAAAGGAAACAGCCTCTGTGTCGCTGCTGCCGATAGACGGGCCGGTAAAAGGGTCGGCCAGAAGGAGAGGTGTGGCTGCGATTAGCCAGCTGGGCACGCTTGAGCTTGATGAATCGATAGAAGACAGGCCGTGTCGGGAAGATATCGATAATGGTGAGTCTGGCCCGCAATTGTCCAGTGAATCAAATTGCAAGTCACTGATAGCTTGAGGAAATGGGTAAATAGAAAGTCTCTCTTGATTCTGACTGCTGCCCACGAAGGAGTCTGATGCATATATTGAGGATTCAATTGCCGATGCTGTCAAAGCTAGTGATTCTGTATTGGTGATTGGTGATGACGGAGGGGGTTCTTGAGATGATGCAGATGCAGAATTCGAGTGTTCCGTCAATAATTGCTTACGAGCCTCAGTAATTCTTTGATTTGGTTCATTGCTCTGTCGTGGTTGAATCGAAGAAGGTCTCCAGCAACCACTATCGCGACGTTTGATCGGACCCAGCCCCCTCCTTCTCGCTGCCAGGGGCTGCTTTCCCCGTCCCCATTCACATGTCAGACCAAGTCGAACGCACCGTTTACAGTCCGGATGTTGTTCATCGCACTTGACGCGTTTGCCAAGACAAGTCTGACATCCTAATATGCGATTGTCCGCGTGAGTCCTGCATTGTGCCGCGCGAGGTTGATGCCAACTCACCATTCCGTGACCGGCCTCTCTCTACTCGTGGGCGACGCTGCCGTGTAGGCTCAACAGACTGCTCCATGGCGCACGTTGGTCTGAAGCAATGCGATAAGGTACGATGGCTGTCGATTATTTTTGAAGCGAGAGAAAGAGGGAGTCTCTATCAGCTGCTGAGTTAAGTTGGTGAATGCCGAGCCCGCTATCGCGCTCGATTAATCTGGCCAATCATCGCTCTTGCCTTCGGCACTTCTAGAACGGGCTAGCGTCAAGTAGGTTCTGCCACCGCCTTTCCTGCACAGAGAATTTGCTGCCTCGGGCATTACGGCACAGGATTGTTTGCTGCAAAAGAAATGGCAAACAGAGAGCTGCTTTCCAGTCTCGCTATTACTCTAACCACAAAGTGCGATATCTAGAGACATTACCAGATAGGCAAGGTAGAAGCTGCTGATGGGTATCTTCAGAATCTCAGCACTTCCGAGTGCACATTTACCTGGCTACCTCTTAGTTAGACATGTCACAAACGAGCGCTGGTGGTTGTATAAAAAAGTTGCGTCGCAAACCCCTCAGTAACTGGGGTATTGATCAAGTTGCATACACCTCTGCTGGTGCATAAATTGTTGCTGTTTGCAGGATAGGTGGCGTCCTAAGGCAACCCTCCTACAAGTATCCAAACGCCTATCACCTACTGAGGTCGCTTCTTATTCATCCTATTCATCCTCTTCCTTCAAGCTCAGACTGACTACCATCACTCTCAAACCTTTCATTTTCTATCATAGCAACCATCAACATGACCAGTATACACAATAGCCAGAGATGTCCCATCGCCGGTCTCTACGGTATTCCCGGATGTGGGAAGTCCCACCTTCTCAGCAAACTCAAAACGCAGCTTGGTGAAGAGAAGTACGTCTACCACGAAGAATCCAAGGTGATTGGCACTGTTCCTGCCGGTGACTTGGCCGGCTTCCGAGCGTATCGTGAACAGGCCATCCGCAATATCCGAAAGAACCCGAAACATGGCTGTGTCACCGTCGTCACAGGCCATTTCATGTTCTGGGAGCCGACCGAGCCGATGGGAAAGATTGTATGTACCAACGAAGATCTTGCAACATACACTCACATCTTCTACTTGGACGTGGCTCCTGAAGTGGTCCAGGGCTTTTGGGGACAGGATACAGCCAGAAGGGGTCCCTGTCCCCCAGTCGACCACATTCGAGCATGGCAGAAAGTTGAGAAAGCTGAATTGCGGAGACTCTGCCACGAGCACCGAATTATCTTTTCGCTTCTAGGCGCCATCAAGATGCTGCGAATCTTATTGGAAGTGTTTGGCACCACGACGAAGATTCCAATCTCCGGCTTGCTAAGCATCATCTCAACGAGGCACTCGGTGGCAACCTGTCTGGGAAGACTGTTTTGATGCTAGACGCGGACAAAACTCTGTGTTCCCAGAATACTGGGGAGCTTTGGTGGAGGATATACCGGCAGCATTATCCTTCTGATGAGTCTGATGAGTGTGACGAATCTGATGACTCTGATAAATCTGATGCGTCAGATGAATCGGATGGATCTGATGGTCGTGAATGCCCCTTGAGGCGGCTGTTTAACGGTCCGCTTGGGTACAGCTATGCTGCCTTTCGCCAAGCTGTTTTTCTATACGAAGAGGCTGCTGATGATCAGAAGTTCGGTGAGATCTGTGAAGGGGTTGCTTCGAACGTGAATATGCATCCTGAATTCATCAACCTCCTGTGGCATGTTTTTGACGACACTTGCGTCAAAGCAGTGGTGGTTACCTCAGGTATACGGCTAGTCTGGGAAAAAGTTCTGACACGAGGAGGTTTATCCGACGATATAAAGGTTGTTGGTGGAGGGCGCATTAAAGACACGTTTGTCGTTACTCCAATGGTCAAAGGTGCTCTGGTCGACTACCTGCGGAAAACCTTGAAGGCGAAAGTGTGGGCCTTTGGTGCTAGTCGCATGGATTTGGGGATGTTGCGAAACGCTGACCAGGCGTTCGTCGTCGTTGGCGAAGAGGCTAATCGAAGCATAACCATGGATGAGGCCTTGATGGATGAATTCACCAATGACAGATTTCGGCCGAAACAGGTCTTGCTGCCTCCTACTTCCTCACCACGATTAGATACAAAAGTGCTACCGATCACGACTCTCGACAGCCAAATGTTTCTAGACTTGCTCTTTTGTGGCTCGAAAAGAGTTACAGTCATCGAAGCAACCGATACGGATGCCTCCTGAGTTCTTACCACACCCACGAGGAACGCCTCGATATCCGGACCCGCGCTCCAAAACGCCCATCGCGACGCTGGAAGGTACCTCGCGCTTGCATACTTGCCGAACGTTGTTGGTATCGAAGATTACCCTATTCCCCGTGTGCAAGGCCATCATGTCACCGGCCATCGACTCCAAGGCCAGCATCATACAACCATCATTGCTTTGATGCGAGGTGGGGAGCCTCTGGCTCGTGGCATTTATGACTACCTGCCTGAAGCTGCTTTTATCCACGCGAAGGTACCAGACGATGTTTGCCACGGCCACTTGCACAATCAGAAGACGGTCATTCTGGCAGACTGGGTCATCGACAGCGGGCAGACAGTGGCTAAGTTTGTCCGTCATATTCGGAAGCTGACTCCTGATGTGCGCATCATCGTGGTTGCTGGCGTGGTGCAGGGCCGATCAATCGCCAAGCTTAGTCCTCTTCAGGCGCTGGTACGCTATGGAGATCTTACGGTGATAGCGCTTCGCAAGTCTGATAATCAATACAAAAGTGAAGGGGGAACAGACACTGGCAATCGTCTATACAATACGTTGCATCTGCCTTGACAAGCATCAGATGGTGAGCCTCAATTTTTTCCCTGACATCTCAGGTAGTTAAATGAATGGTTGATTTGATCTAAGTACTTCTTTTCCAAGTATTCTCTCGAACTACCCCGACCCATTCTTCTGATCACTCTGTAGTGGTGAACCCGTTATGTTGTTTGTGTCGAGCGTAAGAACAGAACGACCGTGCGGTAACTTATCTCTTCTTGTCTTGCTGCCCCGTTACTGCTCCGAGAGTTGTACTAAGTCTTAGTCCCATTTTAAGAGGCACCTTGCCAAGTCATGTAACCACTGTTGCAAGTTCTGTAGTCATTTTGGGGGTTCCTTTGTTGCCCACGTCCTGTCTTCTGTTTGAACTGCATCTGTGAGGTCTTTCTTACTTCTAGAACATACAGACGACGCTTGAGGCTGATGCTAGTGTGTGGCACTAGGCTCTGGCCATCAGGGTCGAATATTCCGTCATGGCTGCTTGATGGTGGGGTCGCGTGGTGATGTCTGGTCCCAGCGGAGGACTTGACGTTATAACAGACTGCTTGTAGCTCCTGATAATACCCTCGTCTTTGACTGTTTCATAGTCCTATTGAGCATGACCGAGAGTCTCGCTGACTGATTCCTCGAAGCGCCGTGAAGGATCCGTATTCTTGTATTCCCGTATTCTTGTATTCACCCTGATCGTGGTCAGTTGACATGGTAATTTGGTCGTGCGGGATCCGACGAAGCAATTGGGCATCGGCGGCGTTCTTATCACCCTTGTTTCTATCTTCTTTCGTACATGACGAGTAATTCTTCCTCACCTAGGCCAGAGGCTACTCCTCTCAATTGTTTTGTAATTGCCGGAGACTTCGTGCCCGGCGGGTAACGTGTAGTATGGCGGGCCGATACGAAGAACTTTGGCATTGTCTTTATCAATCCTATTAACCTGCTCACGCTTCATCTTTCGTGCCTCAAGCGGACGCCCATTTGGCTTGTCAATGGCGCCTATGGACCATACCTTTCAGCCTTGCGGCGTTGGGTAAAAGGTTTATTCAGTGGCTTTAACTCCTGCTTCCGTAACGGGCAGGGGTGATGTCGAACGATCCTTTCGTGTGTCTAGATTGAAATACAGAAAAGGTTGTTGGTTTGCTGAATGTTTGGCTGGTGGTAGCCGCCTGATGCTATTCCAATCGGAAGACACGCAATGGCAATATGCAAGATTTCTTGCTTTGTATCGAAGAAGTAAAGTGATTCATTGTGGTATGAACCTAAATTTATGCCCTCCCCGCTGTATATTCTGATGCCTGATAATATACTTTGTGCTTTGAGTACAGATGAAACAGAGGGTATATATATATGAATAAGATAATGAAGACACAATGATAAGCATGAACCTTATTTCTCAATCATATCGAATTACTCAGTGTTTTCTGCTTAGGAATGTACCTGACAGACACTCCGTCCGAATGGAAAATCATGCTGAGGGGTGTCGACGGATGAAGCTTGGTCAGAGTTAAAGGGTATCCTGCCTTCCACCCGCGCCGCGGCCCACTTTTCAGTGGAGCCAGCGCGACAAGCGTCCTGTGAAGCTGATCCTTCGCGTGGGGGCCAGAAATACCGCCTCGGCCAATTGGATTATTAGATCAAGAGCCATAGTGGATTCTCCACTGGCGATCACGGTAGTTCTGCGGGCTGGGATTGTGTCTGAGGGTGATGCGCGGTCGGCGGCATTGACCCTTCATATTGTGCCGTTGGCATAGTTTGATGCGAGGGATAAGGAGTGGAGTTGTAGGGTGCATAGTGAGGATAATGGCGGTATGAAACAGAGCCAGGGTTGTAGTTCATGCGGTGGTCGTATGCATAATGTGATTGTTGGTATTGTTGGGGGTGGTGGTCGGGGTGATGATGATGGCATTGGCATTGGCGCGCTTGAGTTTGTTGCTTCTTTTCTTGAAAATCATTCGCAGCTCTAGAGTCAATCAGCATTTTGTCCTACTAGGGGGTCGAGCTAGCTGAAGTGTACGGTACGTACTTTGAGGAGACTTTGAGGAGGCCGTAAGCCCCGGCGAGTTGGATTCCAGTCTTGATGAGGCCCATTTTGATTCTCAGCAGATTCGACTGAAGTAAATGAGAGATATGAAAGACAATTGAGTTCATGTTTGAATCGATAGAGATCAATCGCAACTTTATACTGCCCTCCCTGTGACGATCACCTCTGAGCGCTACGTCTTGCACACCGCGGGGCAACCCACTCCAGGCTACGCTAACCCTAAGTTGACGAACAAACCGAACCCGTGTCAACTGCGCCACAATAACAGACGACAATCAGTTTGAGGTCAAGCATCAGAATAATCCGTGCGCTGGCTGGCAAAGCTAGGGTAACAATCTCAGCCAAGCAACCCCTGACCGGCTTGCACCAACTCTTTCCCTTTCTGCAGCATCAATCCGAACCCGTCCTGCCCAGACTCCTCGCTCAACCTCCTCCCCCCACTATGCCTCCAAGACTCAACCACCGTAAATCTGTACGAGGCTGTCGTAACTGCAAGAGACGTAAGGTGAAGGTCTGCACTGGTCCATGGCCCACTATACCCAGCCCAATTGCCCCCTCAGGAGCTAATTCAACACATCCACAGTGCGACGAAAAGCAACCCGAATGTAGCGCCTGTATCCGTCACTTCGTGGTCTGCGAATATCCCGACCTCCAAACCAGAATCCACAGCTATGAGCCCCCAAGACAGCAAGGACGGTCATCATCGCGACCAGCCCCCCTAAGACGGAGCCTCCCCTCCCCCGAAAGAGCCAACCTCAACCCCACCGACCTCCAACTAATACACCACTACGTCACCGCCACCGCCCACACGATGGGCCACGCACAGCTGCCCCCCGTCCTAGCCATGTGGCAGCTAGCCGTCCCCGAGATGGCCTTCGAGTACCCGCCGCTGCTGCACACCATCCTCGCCGTCGCGTCCACCCACCGCGCCGCTTTACTTCCCGACGCCGCCGATGTTGCCACGAGGCGCGTCCGCGCCGCGCACCACCTCCACATCGACCGGGCTCTAAAGCACCACCGGGCGGAGACGGCCCGAGTCAATCGTCCGGGCACAGTCGTTTCCGAAGCGTTGTGCATGAACACGATCCTGATCTGCCTGTACGCGCTGACGCTCCGAGGCTGCGCAAGTGGAACTACTAGTCCATGCCCCACCTACGAGCCCCCGCTGTTATGGCTGCACATGTCCCGGGGCATCCGGTTGATGATCGGCCGGGCGTACCACGGTCTCGTCGGGGCCAAGGCGCGGATCGCGCCGTTGTTGATGGCCAAGCCCTTGGTGCACGGGGGCGCCGCTACGGCTGCCATCACCTCGCGAGTCGCTGCAATCACTGTCCCCACGTTCGCGAGTCACACGAGCAACAACAACAATGCCAAGGGGATATCTAATGCCAACAGCAGCAGCGGCGAAATTCGACCCCTCCAATTTCTCCTGGACTGCAACCCTGACGACGAAGGCGAAACGCCGCAGATCCGCGCCGTCTACGACGAATGCGTCAAGTACCTCGAGGGGATGTACGTCGCGGTTGTGGACCGCGGGGAGGCGGGCTTCGATCTGCGGAAGCGCTTCTCCTCGTTTGGGCCGATGACCCCCGCCCCGTTTGTTGGGCTCGTGGCGGACCGCAGGCCCCGCGCGTTGGTTATTCTTGCGTATCTTTTTGCGTTGGCCAAGGGGGCGGAGGAGGTGTGGTGGTTGAAGGGGATTCCGGAGCGGGAGGTTAGGGGGATATATGGTGTTTTGCCGGGGAGGTGGAAGAGGGCGATGCGGTGGGCGGTGGAGTACGCTACTGGGGGTGGTTCGTGGGGTCTTGGGGAGGAGGGGGCGAAGGGGGCTGTGGTTGGGTAGGTTTTGCTTTTTGGTAGGACTTGGTGAGCAGGGGTATTAAACTTTCATTAAGATATGTAAATCATACTGCTGAGGATGGATGTGGTGCAGGGATGCCTGTAACATTGTATGACAGGAAGTATGGGATATTGCACAGGGGTAGTATCAGGCACCTGAAGTGAACGTGGTTCAAGGCAAGCTGTCAATTCATGCAGACATCGCAGCTTAAAGAGCAAGAAGCAATCCAACACCCGCCAGACCCGACAGAAGTCGGCCCGAGTTGCTCGTAGGGAGAGCGACCGCCCCCGCCTCGGACGAGGTGCTCTCAACGGAGGCTGCAGTGCCCGTGGCGGTAGGTTGGCTGCCACCCTCGGTGAGGGTCACGGTGCCAGAGACCATAACCGTGGGCCCGGACACAGCACCCGTCCCGGTGGCTTCCACCCCGTTGCCCGTCGCCGACGAAACAGCCGACGGCATGAGCGTAGCTCCCGGCACGGCGTTGGTCCCCGTTCCGATCTCAAGGATATCGTCCTTACCGGGCGAGAAGTTGGTGTTGGCCACCGAGATCTCATTGTTGGCAAGATCATAGACCACGTAGGCGCTACGGAGGAAGGTGTCGCCCAGGAGATTCATGCCAGGCTGACTGGGCACAATTCCCAGGATACAGTCCCCCTGCGCAAAATCGGGCTCGGTATAGGGTAGCACCAATTGGCTGATGGGGACGGTGACAGTGGCGCCGGAGAAGCCGAAGGTCACGTTATAGTCCTTCTCCATAGCGCTGCAGGCGATGTAAGCGGCTTGGCTCTTGGTGGAGTAGCCCGCGTCGAGCTCCTTGTAGATCTCGTTGACGAGGTCCTCCGGCAGCGCGGTCATGCTCGTGCCGGTGTCGAGGCTGCAGGACAGGGGCAGGCTGGTGGTGTACTTCGTGGAGCTGGAGCCACTCTTCTCCACGGACACTTCGGTCAGTGCGATGGCCAGGGACACGTACTGGCCGTCGCGAGGCACAATCGGCACCGTTTGCAGCTCGCCGAGGTACTTGGCCTTGTTCACGCCGCCAAAGAGAATAGAGCCCGTCGTTGCGTCCTCGCCGTCGAGCCACACGCTGTAGGCGGGCGACTTGATGGCGCCACTGTCGACCAACGCCTGGGGCAGATTGGAGTACACTTTGCCATCGTACTCTTCTTGGTAAGTCGCGCGCGCATACCCAACGCCCGCGATACCCTCTGTTGGTGGAAATCGGTCGTGTCAGTATGAACCCTTTTTTTTTTCTTTGCTTTCGCCCTTGCGTGCGAACACCAGCGATATACTTACGGGCACTAGTCGACTTCTCAGCGACAGCAAACTGCATCGACTTGATTGTAGTCCCCCCAATCGTGACATTGTCGGTTGCGTAGTTACCGTAGGAATTCGTCCCGTCTCCGTAGGTGTCGTTCATAAAAGTGGCGAGTTTCTTGTAACTTGACGAGGCGCCGGAGTCGTATGTCCCGTAAGGCTTGCAGGGGTTGCTCTTGGCCGAGCACTCGTCCGAGTCTGGGGAATTCACCCAGGTGTCGCTGCTACCGGTGTCCAGAGACAAGACCACCTTCTGTGGAGGTGTGCCGATAGTCAGGTTGAGGGTATAGTAAGTGTCGCCCTATACGTGGCTGGTCAGTTGTCCGCACGACCTGTGTGTCTATTTCACTGAACGTGCGGCTAGCCAGCGTACATGATTATCAAGCGTTACGTCCACAGTAGAGTCCCTCTTCTGGCTTAGTTGAGTAGTCGGTTTGCGCTCAATGGGGATATGGACGGTAGCAGGCACATCACGGCGGTGCAGCTGAAGCGCATCCACGTAGGGGGCGGCGGCGAGCCCGAGGACGGGGAGGAGATAAGCACCGCGCATATTGACTAGTCGCAGCAACCGCGCAAAGGGGAATATCTGACTGAGAGTGAGAAAGACAAAGGAAAAGAAGAAAAATCTCAAGTTACTTATGCAGGTGGGAGCAGGCAGCCTTTATGACCACCATCCCACTCTAATTAAGTTCCCTCATCAGGGTTCCGGATAACCGGTGATTCAATAGTGAACGGGCTTGGAACCACATCGAGGCTCCAAGCCACCACTCAGCTTCGTCGGGTACAGCCGGACCCAGTGCCAATCCAGGCTTGTCAGGGGTGCTTAGGCCGAAAGTGTGCAAGGTCCGAGGGTCAGCGAATCACTGATCAGGGTCTTATGGCCGAGCTACAAGCGAAGGAGGGTAAGCCAGCTTGGCGTGAATTCTTTCATCTCCGGCACCCACGCTATGTGGTCTGTTGGCTGTGTGAGTGTGGAGCACGTCGCTGTTAGCGTCAGGGGACCTGAAGGCGTGGGAACGTCTGTTTGGTCCGAATCTCAATAGTTCAATGTCTGCGGGTCTAATTGGATGGATGAATTCATTTCCCGCCGACATGAACTCGTGATGGACGAGTTTGGGAGGCCCGAGTCCGGGAGATGTTGTGACTCAGAGACTAAATGGTTGTCAGATCTTGGTGGGACCGTGGCTGCTGATCTGGGGTACGACGAGCAATGCGCTACAATCATGGTGATCCCCGGAACCATGAGAAAAAATACAGATCGGCCGACAGGAGCCATCATTCATCAGTGGCCCGAGATTTCTCGATTTGGTGGGTCGGAAACGAGCCCGGCGGGCGGGCCCGGGATTCCCCAACTAGGCAATAGATACCAGAGTCAGGAACCAGTGGAACCATCCACCAGAGCCCTGAATGCTTAGGCTGAGGGCCGGGGAAAGGAGAGGAAAAGAAAAGGGCAAAAAAGGATGGAGCTGCGGGGAATCGAACCCCGGACCTCTCCCATGCTAAGGGAATATTATACCACTAAACCACAGCCCCAATTGATGTGAGGTGATTGATAAGATGGCCAGAGGATCCTAGCTAGTGCATGCTCTCGCCCTCCACCTGCATTTGGGTGTCCCTTGCTACCCCCATTATAGCATTTGTGGCTACTTATTGTACTCAGCGCCAGCGTACATGATACCTCTTGACTATAAGTCATGACTGTAAACGATTTCAGGTGCTCAATGATTCCGTCATATAAATTCGATTTTTCGTTTACATATATCGCCCCTGGAGTTGCCGCCACTATGTCAAACCTGGTACACACGGTCAGTGCAGGCATGTGAACCCAATTGGAAGGGTGTTGTGGAAACAAACGAAACAAAAATTACCGAACATACAGTGAAGTGGATTTCAGTTCGTCAAAGCTGGGGGAGTTCGGATCTAATTTCCACCAACCCTCACAGTCGCGAATCCCTGACACCCACCGTCGCAGCATGGGGAATCGAAGGAACGCCCCAATGCAGATTAACCTAGGTATCAAACGTCAACGTTGATCTCAGATTCAATGCCCAGTATCGAGATCTCACCTCTACCACATGATCCCAGCCAAATAGTTCAGGTGCAATGGCCGGATCCCGCCAGACCAATGCTTCTCCTGGCGGTGTCGGAACCATCTGCATCGCTCTGTCACGTAACTCTTGCTCCGGTCCGTCGGGCAGATGCTCGAGGTCTTTTTGCTCGTTCGATCGAGTAACGACCATCAACGTGCGCCGCTTGCGACACTTTTCAAACACTGCAAGAGCATGTCGCTTGGCCAGGAGATACTCGCGCGATGACTTGGTGGTGTGTGCATCGTTTGGTAGACGAGAGAGACATTCACCGAGGACTGCACCGTCTTCGAGGGCCATGCCCGCCCTGTGTGGTCTGTTTCAGCTCGACCTTCCAGCCAAAGAATATATAGTACCTACCCTGCTGCAAGATAAGGAAGGGTGGCGTGGACACTGTCCCCAATCATCACGCCAGCTCCAGATGGATGTGACCAGCCTCCGGTGTTGAACCGGGTACATAGTCGCCACTTGTGAACTGATTTACACAGCTTGAGTAGCTTCGCGATACTACCCCACATTCAGCAATTGCCATCATTGATAAGTCGCGGTTGATCCGACTTACCGAGGATCCCAATTTTTAAATAGCGAGCGCATCTCCTCCACATTTCCCGCCACGGTACTCGCCTTCGAATCCTCCGGGATATCATCAGGAGTAAGAAGGACGATGTTGAAGAGCTCCTTACTCAGCGGATAGGCCACTGCTCACGCAATCAATCACCATCCCATCTAATTTCCAGTCTTGCAAAACGACTTACCCACGTGCTTGTCCGGCCCATACCAGAAATTCATATTCGGGTGCGTGACAAACTCCGCCAGCTCGGGATCCTTCACGATGTCCGGCGACGCCAGCATCACCCGGTAAGCCAGATCCCCCGTCCTGGTCGGTGGCGTCGGATGCTCCAGCACCTGATCAGCCAGTTTCCCAAAAATGCCATCCGCCCCGATGAACAGGTCCGCCGTCCGCCGGCGGCCATCTTCGGTGGTAATCGTGGCCGTCCCTCCCTCGGCCCCGTCGAACGCGATATCCACAATCTTCGCATTGCAGGTGATCTTCCCTCCCAGCTCGGCGATCCGTTCCAGCAACGTCCGCTGCAGATAGGGTCGGTAGAAGGCCCGGAACCAGGTGCCTGGGTATGCGCTCGCGGCCTGCGCCACGTTCATGCTCGTGATCGGATTCCCTTTCCAGCCGAAGACGCGGTAGGCATTTGCCACGGCCCAGTGTCTGCTGAGCCGCTCCTCCAGGCCCCAGTGCTTCAGCACCCGCGAGCCGTTGGGGAGCACCTGGATGCCGGCGCCGACATGCTTGATCTCGGAGGTGGCCTCGAGGATGTGCACATTGTGGCCCGCGAGCAGGCTGCTGATGGCTGCGCCTAGGCCGGCTATGCCGGCGCCGGCGATGATGATCTGGGTTTCTCATGGATTGAGTGGATATAATCGTGTAGAGGCACGTTGGTGACTCACGTCTAATTTGCACGAGGGCTCTCGTGTTTCTTGCTGCTTGATGTGATACGAGGCGGCCATGATGGTGCGAACTAGAGGATGTATTGTTGCAAGCAAGCTTCCAGGATACAGTTGGGCTCGTCGACTTCATGGAATTGCCATTTGGTCGGGTTGGAAACCTAGTCTGCCACGACAGATTGCCGAATGGAAGGGTGCGGCGGGGGCAGTTGCGACCCGCATCGTCCCTTATACCACCTGTACCCCATGACATCAGATTCGGTCAGGTTGAAAATGCCCTCAGCCCAGCGACGTCTGAATTTAGAGATTGTTCTGGAAAGCCTAGCGCCAGCTGTAGTCTCTGAGATCTAATGCGGGCGTGACATGGCAATCTGCACGGGGTAGCGTTGGCAGCAAGGGGCTGAGGCTAATACCGTACCTTGCGAGAGCTGATGGGGAGCTTAAGCCCGATCCTTCTGTCTGGTTGGTTATGAAGTGAATCACCCTAGGGTCTCGCATCTGGTTGTGCTGCAAAAGCACAGTTGTAGATGTTGTCTTGCGCCAGAGACATAATGCGGTGAATGAATTCGTCTGGCCCAGAACAAATTAGGTAGATTCATTCCCCAATTATGACTAACATTCGACCTGTATTATACTTCATGACATCGAACTTCTACATAACTTTGAATTCTATGCCTACATATTATGCCTTGAACCTTTCACTGTACGTAAGTCCTGCTCTAGTGCAGTTCTTGCATCCTTTTCAAGGTGTTGGTCATGACCTGCTGACGCATGCTCATGGAGCAGGGGGTATCACATTCCAATAAACCGCATGACCCTTGAGAGGCATTGAAAGACCTGCCGTGACCGATCAAAGCCGAGCGCGCTCTGGCCCAGAGTACTCCACATTCAACAAAGAAGCCTAATCGTATACCCTTTCTAGATCTGACCCTTGATTTCCACGTTGAGTACACGAGGGCTGTGGTTCCATGCCACTCACCAGTATTGCAATTGCACCTGAATCCGTACACGTGCCACAAGCATGCGTCCTCATCCAGTCCTACAGCGCCTCGGAAATGGGTACCTATCATGATGATATGAAGATGTTAATTTGAGCGGAGATATCAATCGCTACGCTAACCCACACTATTGTACAGTAGATTGCAACAAACGTACAGCCCCCACAGAGTCAACATTCGCTCACTCGCGTTCAACCTTCCAATCCCGCAAAAACCGCCAGCGGGCCGTCTCCTTCCACCCGGCCGCCTTCCACGCATTGGCAGTCGCAGGGAAGGTCTCCACCACCCCCTCCAAGCTCGTATCGTGCGCACACACCACAAAGACATGGCTCGCGCCGTCGAACTCAGCCAACGAGCCCACACTCCGCTCCGCTTCCTCTGGATCCGCCGCCACGCTTCTCCCGTTGGGGAAGATGTGAACGTGGTAGAAAGCAGAGGTCTGGTACTTCTCGGGGAAGGGGTGGATCGCCGCGAAGATCTCGCCGGGGCAGGGCACCAAGACACCGGTGTAGGGGCTGGGCGTGATCTGGTCGGGCAGGGGGACATGCTCCGAGGGGCGGAGTTGGCCCGCGTGGTGGATTGTGTCTGCGCCCATGAGGATGAATGTGTCCGAGCTGATTACTTCGCTGTCATTGCCATTCCCATTGCTGCTGCTGGTGCGGGCTAGACCGCAGACATGCCCGACCGCGTGGCCTGGCACATCGAGGAGGTAGAACGAGCCGTCCCCGAAGTAGTCGTGGGCTCGGAACCCACCGATCTGGAGGGTGAACTGCTCCGGGGAGATTTCCACCAGTGCACGCCCGGCGACATCCGACTCCAGCAGTTCACTCGCTGGGTTGGACGGGTAAGCCGGCAGCGAGGCAGCGGATACACCTGGTCCGACTACTAGTGAGGTTGTGGACGGGAAGGTGGAGGCATCGCCGACGTGGTCGAAGTGCGTATGACTTTGTTTGAGGCTCACAGTCAGCGATTGCTTGCTTTTCTGGGGGATTCGAGCTCGGATTTACCTCCAGATTATCGCGTCGATGGTTTCCAATGCGATGCCATGGTCGGTCAAGATCTCGGCCACGTCTTTCTCGATGGTGATGCTGAACATGGCTTTCAGGCGATCGTACAAGGGTTTCGCCAGGTTCTCCCAGTCCTTGCGGATGCCCAGGTCGAAGAGAACCCGTTTGTTCTGGGACTTGTTCTCGACCAGGAATGCATACGCGCCGGCGTTGAGGTCCTTGAAGCCGCCAACTTCTGGTGTGAGAAAGATTCCAGGAGGACCATGAATTCTGGCGGTTGTGTCGATGATGCTCACTTCGACGGTGTTGCCTGAGGCAGGGATGTTGAGGTCCATTTGGGGCTTATTGTGACTGGATGGTGTAGTGATTTGTGTCAATTGATTTCATTGTTCTGCCTGATATAGTGGCAGGATGCATGTTCCATCTTATACATTTCGCAACGGCGCATACTTCCTTCTGGAGATACCAACCTAGTACTCAGTGTTCGTCATTGATCTCAACAAGGAAGCTATGGGGATTGGTCAGCACCGGAAGATGTCGGGAGACGGAAGATCATGGATCCTCGTGATGCCTCAGCCTAATAGCCATCGCTCGATGGGGCTAATGGCGCGCGGGTGAGCGAAAGAAGATCAATGATACGAGGGAAAATAGATAGACCCCAGTCGCTTTGTCGGCGGATCACCGGATTATGGACCGGATAAAATGGCCGGTGAGTCAGATCTCCACCGAAGAGCCGCGATCCAGAAATAGATCAACTGGGGTAAGCTCTGCAAACAGTGCCACGACTGCCCGATCGGAGCTTATTACTCGTAGCATCCGACATTCCCCACATTGACTTAGAGGTTGTGGCGAAGCTTGGACTTGTGATCCAGCTTGTGACCATAGAAGTGCACAGTCCTCGTTCATGCACCTGCCGCTTAGCCGTGCTCCCCTACTTTCCCACTCAACCGAACAACTAACATTACGTTTCTCCATAAACCTGCAAATAGAAAATGGACAAGAAGGTAGTTGAATATTGTATAGGCTATATTACCTAGTTCGAGGCTGCGACGGATCTTCACAGCTCGTATTCCACGCAGTTGAAGAAGTGCTCAAAAAACATTTGGCTACATTGTACTGCACATAGAGAATGCACTTGATAAGGCCTTTTCTCGCATGGCATGGTGCCCAGATAGGTACCTCTAGAGATTATGCTGCTTTTCCACACTAGGTCCTAGCTACATGGACGAGGGCAATTAAATGTTCAACGATTCAATAATGAAACTTTTGTTGAGATGATAAATTAAATATGCCACGGAAGTTATTCGTTTGTCAGGGGCTACATTTTGACATCGCACTAGCATACAACAAGTCACCGACTCCTATCTTTTGCTTTTTTCTGCAACCCAAAGCCAAGAAAGCGATTCTAGGGACAAGATAAAGGTCTGTCCTAGTAGATGTGTAGCGGATAGCTAGTCCGACTTTTGCTTAGGTTCTCTACTGTTCTAAGCGACAAGACCCCTTGGTTCTTGCCTGAGTCTCTTCTTGCTCGTGCAATCACAAACTTTATGTACTACAATCTATACACTCTAAGCTTCTAGGATAACAGTATTACTCTTTCCTCTCTCATTCCCAATCTCGTTTCGACAGAGAAAAAGTGACCGACCCCAAGCTCAATCCGACGATACGCTAATAGTCCTCCGAGCCACCTGCACCTCCGGCGAAAGCCCCTGCAACACCTCTGCCAGCTCATCAGCTGCGCTTTCCAATGCTTCATCCGAGACCACCTCCCCCAAGGCATCAATAATGAACAACACCCGCGTGGTCTGATCCGTCAACGCCGTCCGCGGGCCCTGCCGCCAATTCCAGCGCCGACAGGTGATCCCCGTGCTGTCGCACCAGATCGGCTCCCCCGGCGCCGCCAGCTCCGTCTGCGGCTCCCCGCCGGAAAAGGTCTGGAATGGCTCCGTGCCTGTCGCACGGATGAGGAATGGTGCCCCGTCGTACCTGTCGAGATCCTCGCCTCCGAAGGGTAGCTGGTGCTTGATGGAGATGGCGTTGTAGATGTCCGTCAGACGGTTGACCCGGGGCAGACCCGCCTCGACCCGCCGGGTCAGCGCTTCCAGACTGTTCCGGGTCTTCTGCGGTTTGGCGCCGAAGGCCTTGTAGGTGTTGCGCCAGGCGGCAATGTGCGGAAGCTCGGTGACGGGCTTGCTGGCTAAGAGTTCCTTGACATGTGCTTCGGCTTGTTCGAGGAGGGTCTCGCTGGTTTGGTCGCTGGGGCCCGGGGGGATGTTCTCGACCACCATCAGGAGGGCGCGGTAATCCGGCCGGAGCTGGAAGATGGCCGGGTCGACGCGCGCGGCCTTGAGTAGGGCTTGGGCGGTTTGTGTGGTGCTCATTGTGAGCAAGTGTCAAGACTGAGAGTCTTGAAAGTATGGGTCCTCGGATGCAGAGAAGATTGAAGGGCAAAGGGGGGGCTTGATGCCCTATAAATACTGGTATATATACAAAATGGCGGGCGAAGCGCCAAGACCGGGGGAAGAATCTTGGGTCGCCCCACTACCCTTAACTTCTCTTTCGGGAAGGCCCCCGATTGCCCCCCGGCCTCGAGTCCGGCAAGATCTCCGCGGTAGCCGGCCGCGAATGTCATCGGGCAAAGCACTACCGGCTTCATATTCTCGGACCCAATCATCCTGGCAGCTCATGTGAAATCTCTACCTGCGCTGGAAGCTCATGCGCCTTTACCACCCCTTGATTGCCTTCCAATTCATACTTCCTGTGTGCCCCACTGGCCCCATCCAGCTCCGAGATTGCAAGAACTCGCGCACGAGCCGGTTTCTCCTCCGCACTTTCGCTGCTCCTCTTCTTCCTAGCCCTATAGTTCAGGTACAAGCCCATCAGTCCCAGAATTACAGCAGCAGCGCAGCCCACTCCGATCCCTGCTTTCGACCCCATGCTTAGACCACCCTTTGAGCCCGGATCGGTCATTGCCACTTCCGTGCTGGATGCAGTAGATACTATATCGGCAGAGGTAGGCGTGGCCTTCATCGTCGAGCTTTCACCCATGCTTGTGACGACCATGGTGGGTGTGCCTATGGTGGTAGTGACCCGATCGAAGGTCGAAGTCGTCGTACTCTCACTGGCATTTGATGGCTGCCCCAGGGTCAGCTGAAATGTTCCCGACAGATACATTTCATCGCCAAAGGTACAACGCAAGTACCATCCGTCGGCCATTGTGAACGATCTTCGCAGCGTATAGGTGCCTGCAGTGATATTCACACCGTCAACAGTGTAGCTTATTTCCTCCTCTAAGTGCGAAATCTGGAAGAAAGCGATCTCCATAGGCTCCTTGATCGAGTCCGATGAGTTGTAGGTCCATGTTGTGGTGAGACCGTCGTAGATGCTGACGACGTCGCCTTTGTGAGGGTAAGTCACTTCAAATCCTGGATGGATCAAACAATTTGAGAGATCAGTCTCCGTTGTATGTGTTGTAGGCTAAGAATGATGAGTTATAAGGGTGGGGTGGGTATGCTTATACCAGTTGCTCGGAAGACCTCCGAGGCCAGGGCGAGCAGCAAGATCGAGCGCCACATTTATATGACTGTCAGGCTCTGTCTTGGTTGCGATGTAAGGGGCGGATTGTGGGGTTGTGGGAAAGGGAGGGGGTCGTTATTTAAGTCTCTGGGCTCCCAGGCTTTAGCAGGTAAGGCGCTGTGTCCACATGAAGCTAGAGATAAACTAGTGCAAGAGTTCAGGGATGTTCAATTATCGTCTGGGTTTTGCATTACTTCGGTTACATTAGCATTGTCTAGCCGTGGTAAGCATTTAGACAAATGGCGAGGAGGGGGTGGAGAATGCTTGGGCCATGAAACTCACTAAGAACACTTAGCTTTCACCGGGAACTGAGCTAGCACGCCAATCGACTGCTCAATCGTTCCCTCACCTGGACCTCATTATACAGCGTCGAAGGTGCTGTCCTTGATAATTGTCCTCGAACAGCAATGCTGCGAGGCACTGAAGTGGACCTTCTCACTTCCACACCGGCACTGGAAAGTACTTGTAATAATATGCAACTCGATTTGAGCCGGAGCAAGGGCCCGGGGTGGCCAGTTCGGCTGGACCCCGATTTCCCCCGATATTAAGCCCTAACCTTATGTAGATCGAGCTAAGAGAAGCTAGGCTAGGCTACCTATTTTAGTGCTAGATAGCATCTTCCCAAGTCCTTGGCACAGCACGCCGTCTTTGACTTGTGAGATACTCCCAGGTTCAATTCTTCAGTAAGCCCTAGGTTAAATGTACTTTAGTCTTGTGCCTTGATGCCGGCGATTTCGAGTGGCAACTCCAAGCAGCGACATCGACACAGATTAATCTTGACCATGCCCTGGGTACGTACCGAAGTAAACCGACACAATAATGAGAAGACGAGACATCACAGTTGGTGCTCTTACAGATTTCCATTGTACATGAAGTACATCCTCTACCAGAGCGAGAAATTCGGTTACTCACAAAGTGCGAATCGACCATCGTCATCCCCAAACAGCGGCTGCATATAGCACAACCCCGGGCACAATGGCAAATAAGGTCAACAATATCAAAACAATTGGATCTTCCCTGGATCTTGTACTTATCTTAAATTTGTAATAGCCAGTTGTCGGATCACACATATTACCCATAGCTATACCCGCGGTGGGTTGCTCTACAAGATATTAAACCTCCGGCAGAGGACGCAACAAGCGTCGACTATCGGTTTGATAACAATTCTGCTGACACATAGATCCAGATATAGACTGAAATGCGACCTCTATTACCCCACATTCCTAATGCCAATGCTTGACAATTTCAAGGAGCGGTGGGTTATTATTGTCGCCCTGGCTGAGAATGTTAAACTTTCAAGTGAAACTCTCTGTGTTTTCGAAGTCTGGAAGAAAGACGTCCTATTAATTGCAGCACTCTGAGCATAGACGAAGGGGCGAGGAGGTTTCGCGATCATGAAGATTGATCGGATTTCAGGCCCGACCTTGAGTCCTTAATTGACATGCAAGGGATTACTCCTTATGCTCTTGAAACTTTTGGCACAACATTCCTCAATCGCTGTGGTGACAGCTTCGCAATCTTTACAGGTAGAATCGTAGCTTCGGGGAACTCTCTTCTCAAAGTAACGGTGTCCCCTAGCTAAGGAGACAACTTAACATGATGGCGGGCTCAAAAAGCCCCGAAGCGGGGGAGATTCCTCTAGATACGGGAAACGACGCTGACAGTGAGGTGAGCCTACAGGCTGCGGAGATCAAAGACACGGTGCTCACCGGCTATAAGCTGGCGGCAGTGATAGCCGAGCTATGTTGCTGGGTTTTATGTATATCACTTGTCCGTCAACACCCAGGGCTCCCAACGCTTGTATAAGGCACCCAGACTGATGACAAAACCCGCCATCAGGACAATACTATAGTCGCGACAGCAATCCCCAGAATTGCGGATCATTTTCATGCTTTCAATGATTCTGGCTGGTACGCGAGTGCATATCTCCTCCCCACCAGCGCCGTCACCCTCGTCTACGGCCAGATCTATACATTTTCCCCATTAAGTGGGTGTAGTTGACTACACTATTTCTGTTCGAACTCGGATCTCTCATTTCCGGCGTCGCACCGTCTTCAGCCTGTCTCATTGTTGGACGAGCTATCTCCGGACTCGGAGGTGGTGGCCTTTTCTTCGGCTCGCTGATCATCATATTTCGATGTGTACCGCGACACCGTCGCCCGGTCTCCTCTGGGTTCATCATGGGTACTCATAGGATTGGAAGTATTATTACGCCTCCGTAAGTCGATAGCCTTGTCTGATTGCACGTAGCCATCGGCGACTTACCGCCTTGTTTCCACTCTCGGTGGAGCATTCACCAATCACCTCACATGGCGATGATGTTTCTACATCAATCTTCCCCTTGGTGCGGTCACCGCGCTGGCAATTCTCTTCTCTTTCTAAAGTACCCAACCACTAATCCAGGCGACCTGGCAAGAGAAGCCACGGAGATTGGACCCGCTGGGGATTTTCACCCTCCTGCCAGCCATAAAAGATACGCTGGTAACATTGCTGGGGGTGTATAATCCTGCAGTGGTCCGGATGTTCTATTTCGCTTCTGGGTTGGCGTTGGCTTCGGTGCCGGGGGCGGCGGTCGTGGAGTGGCGGCCGATCAGCAAGGAGAGGCGGACAACATGTGCGAATCATAGTGTTCTATAGATCAAGTACAGATACCAGCAGCGATATTCTTGGTAGAAGCTTGCTCGGGACGAAGGAGGCCGAATTCGCTTCGATCTACAGTATGGAATCAGATTGAGCAAAAGTCAATGTGTCAGTCAAGAAGCACCACGTTGATAGCCGACAGGTTAGATAATAGTGAAGAGAACGCTTGTGACCAGCAGCACCAGCAGGACCAATGTTGCCCCACCCATTGCCCCATCCATATCATACGCGAATCTTCCAATGCCACTTATAATCCAAACATGCCCATCGAGCCGTCAAGAAAAGAAACATCGCTAACACAAGGACGCATCCCAGCCAGACAATCACGATGCGGGATCCGACTTTCTCGAGCATTTCTCCGCCGACGGGTATGGAGATCAACACGCTAGTAGCTTGGTCAGATATTCTGTCTTTGGATTGGCTGCGATATGAGGAAAGACTTACGCAAAGCTCACCAGTGCATAGCAGGTCCCGAAGCGCATCCCAATCTCCTTTGCCGGCGACACCTGCCGGATGCACACCGGTGCGAGGCTGAGGAAGGATCCGGAGCTGAGGCCGTACAGCGCGCTGAAAAAGTACAGCGCTGTCATCGAGTGACTGAACGGGTATAGGATGATGAAAATGGCCAGGATGCCGGACGACACCAGGACTAGGAGGGTGTTCAGCCGGCCGTACATGTCGCCCACGCGGCCGGCGAGAAGACGCCCGATGACCGAGCAGCTTGTTCCAAAAGTGAGGTCAGTACAGGGACTACACGTCGATGAGTACGGTTGGGGCGAGACTCGCTCACATATTGAGGACGACGAGCAGATTGACACTTGTATTCACGCTGAATCCCAGCGCCACAACGTAGGTCGGGAAGAGGCCGAGCAGGGCGAAGGTTTCGAGTTCGAGAACTTGTTGACGAGTGAGCCAAGCATAACAACCGGCAGATGAGGAAACAAAAGAAAGACTTACACCATATCCCCACCGTGAGCAGCGAGAACCTCGAGTCCTTGAAGCACCTCGCATCGATGGCCGTCTTCAGCTTGTCGCCCTTGGGCAACCGCGACTTCACCAAAAAGGACCCCATCCCGCAGGCCGCCAGAATCACAAAGGCGAGAATCCGCATCCCCCAGCGGAATCCGAACCTCGCGAAGGATGCTTTCAGAAGGAAGGGGAACACGACGCCCCCGAGTCCTGCACCCACCAACGCCGTCCCCATCGCCATCCCGATGCGCGCCTGGAACCAGTGCGGCACGCAGGCCAGCGCGACCGTACTCACCAGCGCGCTCCCGATCCCCGCCATGATGCCGAAACTGAGGATGAACTGCCAGTACTGGGTACACTCCGCGGTGAGGAACAGGGCGACGACGTAGACGGTGGACCCGGCGATGACCAGGGCCTTGGGGCCGTAGGTGTCGAACAGCGGTCCGACAAAGACGCCCCCGGCAAGCATCATGAACATGTACAGGCCCGGTACCCAGCCCACGGTGCTGCTTGTGTAGCTGGCAAGCTGGTGGGTCTCGAGATGGGATTGCAGCACGCCCACCGAGTTCATGAGGCCGTAGGAGGCGAGCACAAGGAGAGAGGACCCCAACACCACCAGCCATGATCTGAGGCCGCCGTCGGGAAAGTGCTCGTTGGTGTCGGAGTGGCGCATCAAGCTCGTTGTGGAGGTGTCCACGAGCTGGAGCTCGAATTCGGGGCCATTGGTGTTTCGTGCGACGACGACATTCTCGATGTCGGTCACATCGACGCCCGAGCGAGAGCAGGTGGGTTCTTGAGAGGTTGGTGCTAGCTCCATGGGCTTTTTTGGGTGAGCTCGTGCGGTTGAGGGAAGCTTGTCTTTGTGCTAACACCCTTTCTCATTGATCAGACACTTGGTGAGATAAAGATTCTGATTCTTCAGGCATTAAGCGGGGTCAAATTCTTATAGACTCTTTTTCTTGCGGGGGCTCCACTTCTCAGGGCTTGCAATCCCGAGATCCCGATGCAGGATTAGTGGTCCTACCCAGACCATCGGATGGCCTTCCGATTGGCAAATATCGCCGTATCAATTAATTTATCAATACCATCTTTATCCATGTGAGTCATGACAGATAGTTAAGTTACACATTCCTCAAGCGAATTTCCTCGGCGGATAGCGCACCCTTGATTAGTGCATCCCATACTACTCCATATCCTTCCCCCTCCATTCATAGATAAAGAACTCGACAATAGTAACATAACAAACTGTACATTACATACATCTCAAGCAACAGCAATTCCCCCATCCCCAGCCCACGATTACCCTAGCAGCAACAACACCCATCATCATCCTTGCTATTATTACTATCCCCGCAGCATCCCCCACAGCACCCATCGCAACATCCATCACAACACCCACCACATCCCCCACAGCAATCATCGTCGTCGTCGCTCTTCTCCATCCTCGGCGCCTCTGGCGCCTGATACCCGGTATACTGGGTGGTCGTCGCAACATCGTCCCCGGGGTACGTCATATCATTGTTGTCCACATATCCGCGGTTGTCATCATTGTCACGATTGTCATCATCGCCAGACCAGTAATCCCCGTCGTCTCGGACATACTGCCCGGAATCCCGATCGTCGGGGTTGTTCTCCCGTAGCTCGATCGTTTCGTTGTTCTGGTTCCATTCGTTGTAGATCATCGCGCCTCCAAGACCGGCTGCTGCGCCGGCTGCTGCGCCGGCTATGACTGGGGTTCTGCTGTGCGGGTGGCTGGTGTGCGTTGCATGGGTAGGATGAGCGGGATGGGGACTGTGTTGAGGGTGTGGTGCGGGGTGGTGAGCGGCGGGGTGGTGCTGTGGAGCGTGGTGAGGCTGGTGAGCTACCGGATGAGGGTGCGCTGCTGCATGTGGATGCGCTGCTGCGCGTGGGTGATCTGGGTGTGAATGTGCTGCCGCATGCTGGCGTGCGCTTGCGGCGTGGTGAGCCGGTGGATGGCCATGAGCAGTCCGCAGGCCGCGAGACTGGGCGTGTTGGTGCTGGCCCTGCTTGGTATGCGCAGGTGCGGGACGGGTCGTGCGGCCCATGGCTCCGAGAGATGGCTGTCAGAGAAACGAAGAGAGAAGGATTTGTCGCTGCGTTGGATGCGCACTGTGTATTGTTCAATTCGGAGGTGATGGGCTGTACCACAACTGCGAGGGGGGTTAGGGCTACCGCTGCTGTGCCCCCGAGCGGAAACTGCGTTGACGTCGGGGTCTTGGTCCGTATATAACATCCCACCCCCTCTCTGCTCCCCCTCCCTGGACCTCCTACTACCATGTGCGAGGCTTATGAATCGCGGAGATTACGATACATTAATGTGCCTCTTAATAGAAAGGTTGAACCCTGCCATTGCCACATTCGACGAAGGACGAACAAGAATCTCCGCCCCCATCTTGGCAAGATGGAGAAGTAGTGGCCATCGGTGCAACCTCCAACAGCGGGCACGAGACAAGCAACCCTGCTCGGCCACAAACATGGGATTGCAGGGTCGATTTCTGAGGTGCGGCTGAGAGACGGCCCAGTAGCTTGTGAAGTCCAAGCTCGTATCTGCATGGGCAACGGGAAGGATGGACTCTCACCTCGGAAAGCAAACGCCACAAGCGCCCATCCAGGACCAAAGCACCAATGCACGTGGGGCTTTTCTGGTGGCGATGCGTCTAGACTGATGCCAGGGACGGGATGATGCTCTGCGTCTGACCATGCCAAGACAATTTGTAAGGCATCCGTGCAGATAGGTTAAGCAATATTTGGAGGGAGGGAGGGGCGAGGTTGAATGCTTCGACGGGCGGATGCTTGATAATGGGAGGGCGCGGTATTCCGGACTTCAATGGAGGGATTGGAAATCAAGGATTGGACAGTTGTGCCAACTCGCAGCACCCCGGTATCAATAAACCCAATGCAGCCGCGATCGAGGCAAACATGGAACGTCGACGGGGTTATTTTACAACTCCCGGTGCGAATGAGTGTGCTGGTCTGTTGACATAGATGGACAGAACGAGTCATGGTGGGTATGAACTTTGGAACTGGGTCTGGAACAAAACTGCCAAGAAAAGCAATCTTTTCTTCCGCTCACGGCTTGACCACGACCAAGATGCCTCGGCGGACAATCTCTTCAGGCGCTCAAGGGAGGGGGCAGGAAAACAAAGCCAAAAAGAAAGTGGCGCTGCCCGGAATCGAACCGGGGCTGGCACGGCCACAACGTGACGTCATACCACTAGACCACAGCACCTGATGTTGTGATATCGGCATCAACTTACTGACTTATGTGTAACGTTGTGTATACTTCCAAATGTGGCTTCTTGGTCTTGCCATTGAGGACAATATTGTCTATTTTTCCAACACTGGCGAGAGGATTGGGCAAATAGTATATTACACCATACATAGGCATAATCCAGATAGTTTTCTCTTGGATTGAGTACTTAAATTGGACTCGATTTCCTGCATTGCGTCTTGACAGATATCTGCCTGTGGCGCCTGTCCCCGTCTTTATATATTTCCTCCAGCCTCCATGTCGACGATGGGACACTACCCCGTAAGACATGCAACATCACAGTCGCACTGACGCGTAACCACCACCAGCAACCCGATAGCATGTAATAATTTCAATGCAAAAATACTAGCTGCTGTTGTCCCATAACATGGCATTGAGCAGCATTTTATACCCGACCGCAGGGTGTGGTCACGTGACACAAAGCGAATGCCCATGGGCTCTCGGTGAACGAGACTGCTCAGTGACATAGTCTCTTGGATCTGGCCTAGGCAGTCCAAGCTTATACCACCAACAACCCTGGGAATGCTTCTCTGCTTGGTTGTAGCAATGTATGTCATTATACCACACCCCGCGAAGACACCCACTCCCATAATGCCCCAACCAGACAGAACACCAAATAACACCCTGGGATGAGCCCATGCCACCAATACCACGAGGACGTGAACCACAGAACTGGAAAGCCATACAGCACAAGAACACTCTGTAAGGGGAGTCGAAGCCAACGCGAGCGGTGGCCGAGCGTGTTTTCAATTGCGAGCGACAGTAAAATGACCTCTACCAATCCTGCCACAGGGAGAAGTAGAAACCCTAGGACTTGCCCAAAGCCGTAGCCAAAGCCAAACGCGTCAAAAACTCTTACCACTGATTCGACGAAGACCGCCTCAACCAGGAATACAATGCATACAAAGGTGCAGTAGAGGACCGAGATGCATAGGGTTGAGTGGTGCGACTGCCAGATATCGCTTTGAAAGTCGAGGTGACTGAGGTGCGGGAGTGAGGATGGATTGGAAGGCGTAGTGACTGGGTCCGAAGTTTGGACGGGCAGAAGCTGCAAAGTAAGATTCTCCTGGCTGGTTGCATCCTGCGATGGCAGAGCGGTGTGCTTGGCGCCTGTTGAGCACGGTCAGTTTGAGTCTCTGTATGATCAATGAAAATTCGATCTGCGAGGGTACGTGCCGATACCTTCCCCAAGAAGCTTATAGAAAGATTGGATGATGGTGAGCATAGGCCCTGCAACGAGTACCACAGCAATGACCTGCCCAAATGTCCAATCATCCTCCTCACCACCTGGAAAGCCCACGGGGCATTCTGTTGCCCAGATACCGAAAAGAAGACGGAGTACTCCCCAGATGAAAGCGACGAGCAACCAGATTATCTGTCTCCTGTCAGTGTCTATTGGAAACGGGTTTCGGAGAAGGGATCATAGACCTCCGCAAACATAGAGGTGAACCCTTCGACGAGAAGATGAGCGGTCAGGATCAACGCCAATGTTGGAAGGTAGAACAGAGTGGACTTGAGTCCCCGGGGCGATTTTGCTGCATCAGACCAGTCATGCACGTACTTCAAGCCGGCATGTACCCAGAGCCTGAGTCCAATTCTTAATCTTCCCAGCCAACTTACCGAGATCGACCGCGAAAGTCGGACAGACCGAGAGATGAACGAGAAGATGATTAGAAGCACCGCAAGAAGCATCGATAAAAAGCCCTCCGTTGCTTCGGGCTTGGCTAGAAGGTAGCATGTGGCAGCGTCGTCGATCGCCGGGGGAAACCCCTCACTCAAAGCATGACTATCGCACATCGAATCCTTGTCAGAGGAATGAGGAGGCAGGGGTATCTGTCTGTCGTTTATCCAGTTATAGTTACCAGTAAACCCGAGACCGATCACCAGGAACAGGCACAGTGCGCCCACAAAAAAGATGCGCCATGCGCGGTCGCCTGAATGGTTATGGAGATAGTTCCGTAATATCGTTAGGCAAATCAGATTCGTCATGACGGAGAACCAGGCAAGACTGATGACGGCGTTCCAGTTAAATGTAGACAATCCGCCCCGAAGCTGTGAGGCCCCAGTGATGAGAATGGAGAATCCGGTCAAGAGTTGCATGTCACTGAATGCTAGAATGCACTTTAGGCTATTAACGAAATATGCCACCGGGTGGGTGCTACCGGCAAACTGGCAGAAACAGACCTTTAAAAATGCCTCATCAAGCCCTACAGGGAGATACCGCGATCTCAGTGCACGAATGCTTTGTGAGATAATCAGCTTATCCACTGGATTCGGGAGATATGCTCTCTGGAGATGCCCCTGTTTCGAGTTCTCGAAGGGATCGGAGTCTGGATCAAAGACCAATAGGTAATACAGCACAAGAATGGCGGCCACGATCCCGGCAGTGATGAGGTAGCTTAGCACGACCTTAGAGAGAGTAAGCAAGGCATCACTTGTTCTTCTGGGAGGGTAGACCTACACCAGTTCCTGTGATGTCAGAATTCGCACCTAGCCCTGGCTTGGGCCCTTGACAATCGCCATTCCAGGAAGTGCCCATTGCTGCCCCGCAATATAATTATTGAGATGGATTAGGCTCACGCAGGCTCCATACCAGCTGGATAGTGCTTAGATGAAGACAATCCGACCATCCGATTAAGGATGGTCCAGAAGATGCCCCAGCTTCCAAGTAACTAAAAGGTCGATTCGCCAAAATCCTTCTTATGGGAATCAACCGAATCTTAAGCTGCGTCCGGGGGAAGAAGTTTGCTCACCTTGGTTTCGCACAGGCCGCCTGAGCAGCGCTGCACCTGATAGGGTTGGCGCAGCCACGGCGGTTAACTCATCGGCATGTCCGACTGGCTGTCGCCATTGACCTTTGTTTGCCTAGAGACTGTGGGATTAAAAGTAAACACATACCCGAGTCTACTCAACATAGCTAATGATCTTCCAAGAAGCCTGAATGTAGTGTACATCGAAGTCGTTTTATATGCTCGTCTTCATCGAACAAGCAGGGCAGAGTTTGGCATATCTACCACTGTACTTTAGTTTTTAGGGTCATACCCCCCGCTTCAAAATATGTCTAGTTCTGACAGTGGCGTTAGCCGCATTCATAGTCCAATGTTATGATTGGGCGAGTTGGGTCACCGACAAACATAAGGATCATCAAAAAACACAAACTGCACAAGGATGTTTCTTCACTGAACGAGGCTCTGCACCGAATGGCATGATTAAACTACAAGAAACAAGCCAACATAGGGATGACTGCATTGGTGGTGTGGAATCACAATATAAGCGGCCAACACGACCACAGCTGCAGCCGCAAGCCACCCTAAGCACTATCTCAAGTAAACAACCAGCACCAAGGCACAGCATTGTATTAATTCTGTTCATGTTTATCAACAAAGTCATTGTATCAGTCATATCGAGTGAGGGATGAGCGTTATGTTTCGGTCAAAAGTCGCTGACGATGCGGCTGGATTTAGGGTCAGACGAACCAGCTTCTATCCAACGTTTCCATCGTTCGTGTTTGGCGTCAGTAGGAAGCTGCGCCATCCGCTTGGCTGTTGAAAGATTGGTTTGAAATTTCCCTTGGCGCTTGGATGGGCTGCCTCATTTTCAGCTTAATCACGAAGCTCACCATATCCCATAGACATAAAAAGCCAGAGGGCTATATAAAGTCTCATCACTTTCCTCTCTTGAACGGAGGACAACAGACAACAGGAAAACAGTGAAGCGACCTCGTTACTAACAACAACCTTACCGCTCGAACCAGCTACGAGAATATAAGAACGAACGTCTTCCAACATGACCGACTGGCTCAACAATCTCTACGTGTGTCTTCTTGCGCCCTCGTGAGCAAACCTAGCTAACTCCGCAAGGCCGTCTACGGCGACCACGAAAACGAGAAACCCAGCAACACCATCCCCGTCATTGACGATAAGAACGGCGACATCAACGCGGGCTTCGGCGGGAAGTAAGCTCTGACTGCTCCAGCGTCACGAGGGTGTGTGTGTGCGGTGGCTGACCGTCCTAGGTACGTCTGGCTGGTGGCCAACTATCTCCAGGACCCGCAGAACTGCCTACACAACATCAAGGTGGTGTTCTCGGACACGGAGAAGCCAGGCCAGATGGACCTGGCCAAAGGGGCCGGGGGACAATACCGCTACCTGGAGACCTCGACCGTGGCCGCGGAGGGCTTCGGGATTTCGAACCTGAAGCTCCTGCGGAGCACGGATGAGATGAGCAGCACCGATCTTGGAGGGCGGGGATATCGCGGATGGACGACGGATATTAATGCAGGTCGGGGAGGGGATTATCTGTATCTGGTCTGGAGGAATGGTTGAGTACTGGTGCTTTATATGATTGAGGGGATGGAATGGTGCTTCTAGGGCTCCGGCATAGGAATTACCATTTTGACTTTGATTGTTTGGCTCCGTCAATTGGGAGTCTTGGTCATATGTTTATCTGCAAGTCGAACAGAGAATTGAGTTGAGATTTGTGCTTTAGAACGGAGATTGCTGTAGGGACTAGGCAGATTGAGACTGAGGAAGAGGCAAAGAAATCTTCATGGTTTTAGAGACAACAGTACCGCAGAAGTCCTGCGAGAGCGAGTCTGCGTGATGTAAGCCTTACCTGTGTTAGCAACTCACTGCATGATCATGGATGGATAAACACACGGATAAACTCATGCATAAGTGGGTAGGGCAGAGTCTATCAGTCCCGGCGGACAGGCAAATACTTCGATAACAAGAACAAAAGTCAAGGAAAGGAGAAAGAAAATGACCAGCTCTGCTCAGAGCTAGAGGAATTGGAACTAGATTTTTCTTCACATTTTGGGATTGCTATGACCAGTCCGTGGTAGGTTTGATGAGGGATGCATTTTTGGTATGGAAGTGAAGGGCTCCGGGCATGTGCGCGGGATTAATTTTCTCCCAGAAGTCCAGTTTTCCTGATTGAGCCAGGCTTGAAGCTGAGAGTGTCGGAAGGGGGCGGCAGAAACCAGGGTCGGCTCCACCCTCGGCCCGAGCTTTCTTTCTTTCTCCACTTTTTCCCTTTCCGAGTCTTCCAAGTTGCGTTGCTTCCTGCTTTCCCCTTTCTCCGTCTCTATCTACTCTCCTCCCCCGTTCCATGAACACATCATGCTTGTGAACTTGCAACAGAGAATCAATCAATCCGCCACACTCATTGATCATGACATAATGGTGCTTGGGATATTCATCACAATCTCACAGGTCTCTTCTCGTCTGTTCAGTTTGAACATCCCCCCCAAAATAGCATCAGCCGCTAGTGAGGCTCGCCGTTGTTTGAGGATCCCGGATTCCCAGCAACCCCAATTTTCGATCGTCTCATCATGAAACCCCCACCGTTCGCGCTCTGGGCCCGGGAACTCCCAAGAATTGGCTCGGATCAATCTTTTCCCTCACTGCTGCCCCTCAATTGCTCAGTTGCACCCTCAAATCGAGCCTTCCGCATGTGATGTGGGTGAAAAACACCTGTTCGATCAAACAATTGGCCAATCCGCTAGTACTTCGTACAATCACGAAGATCCACACTTGTCTTCCGCGGGATTGTGAAGTCCCTCACGGACACACCGCCTCGGAGAGGCCCTCCAGGAGTCCAGGTAGGGAAGAACCCCGAAGCTATCGAAGTTTCGACCAAGCATCGACCCTCTTTCGCAGCCAGCTTTAAGGTTTAGCTCAGGAGGCTCTCCGGTCGATCCACCCGGGCAGGATTCCCTTTTAGCAAACTCGGGATGCAATAGGACTGCTCCCTCGGTCTAGTCGGAGAAAAAACTCTGTGCTAAGCACGCCCGATGACTTTGGCTCCGCACACCCTCGAGATAGGGACTATTGTCCCTACTCCAGAGTCCAGCCAAACATGTTCTTCGAGTGGAGTTTCTTCCCGAATCTACACCCTAAGAATAGCCACTTGCCCTGGGTCGGCCATTAACCCCGACCTTCTCCATCACCCGCGTCTCGGGCTGCTCTAGTAACCATTGTTTGGATTTTCCTTTTCGGTACAGCAGGCGTTCTATCCACGGTCTGCTCTCTCATATCCGGGAAAGCTTCAGGCACAACTCATTTTGGCTTTATTCAAGCTGGTGTCACTACTCTCGGCACCGTCAATCGCAATCAAGACGACCATGAGCCAACGGCAGAGACCACAACCTACTTTCAGGGCAAGTGTTCGAATGATTGATGGCCTGTAGTTGCTCTTCATGTTGTTCGCACACGGACCATCTCGTGAGACCCATCCAGAACCAAAGCAGAACCTGGATCTCTAGCGCGTTTCAATGCGACGGATTTGGAGTCTCCCCAGCCGGCCCCGTCGCTTCTTGCTACTGTGATGGTCCATTCCCCATCGCACGATGTGCTTGTGCGACCGCTCGGCCTCAGGTCACCATCACGCAAAAGGAGTCCAGGCTACACATGGACCACATCGTGATCCCAACGGACCCCGGTCTAGTCTACCCCTGTCTGAGAACCACGGTCGATGGTTCCCTCTAAGCCAAGATGGTCAGGAACCTTACCTGGATGGTGCTTTTCGACTGGCAGGGATTGGCTTTCTGCCGTGATCTGGGCAAGAGAGTGAGATCCTCTTCGGGACGATCACAGACCCTCAAACACGAAGGGTTTCATGGCTGCTTCTCGAAATAGATCATCCCGAACCTCATCCGGCCTCGAAGGCTTGAGAGACTCAAGATAAAAGGCGTCTTCATCCTCGCGTTTCTGTTCTTTTTTCCATCATCATCCTTCAACCACTTCTCTCTTTCTCTTTCTTTCCTCTCTCCTAAACCTCAAAAAAAAACATTGCTCTGGTAGCATTTCCTTCGTTCTCACACGATTATCTAGCTATAATCGTCTTCCTACTCTCCTCGCTTCTTTCTTTCTCACTCTTGTCAACTTGTTTCAATTTGGTAAGTATACCGCCTCTTTTGCTCTGCGATAAGCGACTAACACCAGCAGATATCACGATGCGTGTTTCCAAGGTTTCCGCCGCGACTGTGCTCGCTTCGACCGTCTCCGTCAATGCGATCCCCATCCCCTGTCTCCTTCCCTTCCTGAGCGGCGCTGGTAGCCTCTTCGGAAACTCGGGTCTGGGTGCCAGCTTGGGCGGCAGCGGCAGTGCTGATTTGGGCGCCAGCCTGGGTGCCGGTGCCAGCGGCAGCGGCAGCGGAAGTGCCGGTCTGGGTGCTGGGCTCGGAGGAAACGCGGCTGCCAGCCTTGGTGCGAACGCTGGTCTGGGCGCTGGTCTGGGTGCCGGCCTGAGCGGTCTCTTCGGTGGCAGCGGTAGCGGTAGTGCTAGTGCCACCGGCAGCGGCAGCGCTGATCTGGGAGCCGGAGCTGATCTGGGCGCGAACGCCGGTCTGGGTGCCAACGCCGGTCTTGGTGCTGGCGCCAGCCTTGGTGCTGGTGCTGGTCTCGGCGCCGGTGCCGCTGCTACTCCCTCTGCTGGTCTGGGTGCTGGTGCTGGCCTTGGTGCCAACGCTGGCCTTGGCGCTAGTGCTGGCCTCGGTGGTAGCGCCGGTCTGGGTGCTGGTGCCGATCTTGGCGCTGGTGCCTCTGGTGGTGCCTCTGGCGGTGCCTCCGGCGGTGCTTCTGGCAGCGCTGGTCTGGGTGCTGGAGCTGATCTCGGTGCCAGCGCCGGTCTGGGCGCGGGTGCTAGCCTTGGTGCTGGCGCTGGTCTCGGTGCCGGTGCCGCTGCTACCCCCTCCGCTGGCCTGGGTGCCGGTGCCGGCCTCGGTGGAAGCGCTGGTCTTAGCGGTAGTGCTGGTCTCGGTGGCAGCGCCGGTCTCGGTGGCGGTGCCGGTCTCGGTGGCTCTGGTGATGTTTCCGGCAGCGGCAGCGGCAGCGCTGGTGCTACTCCTACTGGTGACGTTGGTGTTTCCCCTGTTGCAACTGGAGCTGCTGGTGGTAGCGGCGATGTTTCTGGTGGTGCCTCTGGCGATCTCTCTGGCAGCGGTGGTGTCTCTGGCGGTGCTTCGGGCGGTGCTTCGGGCGGTCTTTCCGGCGGTGCCTCCGGCGATGTTTCTGGCAGCGGCAGCGGCAGCGGTGACGTTTCCGGTGGTGCTTCCGGTGGTGCTTCGGGCGATCTCTCCGGCAGTGGCAGCGGTGATGTTTCCGGCGGTGCTTCCGGCGACCTCTCTGGCAGCGGCGGTGTTTCTGGCGGTGCTTCTGGCGGTGCTTCCGGCGGTGTCTCCGGCGGTGCTTCTGGTGATCTCTCTGGCAGCGGCGGTGCCTCTGGCGGTGCTTCCGGCGGTGCTACCCCTACTGTTGTCGCTGGCCCCAGCGGCACTACTGTCTCGTTCGGCACTACCACCAGCGTCTCCCTTCCCGGCGGTGGTCTCACGGCTGGTGTCTCGGGCAGCGGCAGCGTCAGCGGCAGCGGCAGCGGTGATGCTGGCGTAGGTGCTGATACCGGAGCTGACACTGGTGCGGGTGCTGACACCGGGGCAGGCGCAGGTGGTGATGCAGGACTCGACGCGGGAGCTGGCGGCGACGCCAGCGCCGATGCTAACGCCAGCGCTACTGCCGATGCTTCGGCTGATGGAGATGCTGATGCCAATGCTGATGCTGACGCCACCGCTACTGGTGGCGGTTCTGCCACTGCTAACGCTAATGCGGAGGCTTCTGGCTCGGGACACGCCAGTGCTAACGCCTCTGCCAACGCCTCGGCCAGTGCTTGAGGTGAGCTTTTCTTCTACTCTGAATTATGGTCTTAGACTAACTTGGCAACAGTCAATTCCACACCTGTCGATGCGACAAACAACAACTACAACTACTACCCCACTCTGCATCATCGACCCTCATCGTGATCCCTCTTTGGCATGAAACTCACTCCCTTTTGAAGTGGTTTGGAGGATGATGAATCAGGACATTTTTGCTTATAGTCATTCGTTTATAATTGTGTTTTGATCATGAGACTGTCTAATATCGACATGTTATTTTAGCTAGGAAAAGCTGCTCTAATCTCTTGCTACAGCAATGCACACACAGCTTGGAATTGTCATTCTTATGTTCTTTGTTCTTCTTATTCCAGTGCAAACCCCCCGAATCACCGACTGGCTCCACTAATCACAGATCCTTCCCGCCGCAAACCCCCGATTGGGGGAATTGAGCAATTGGTGCTGCACGCTTAGTGCTTATGGCCGGCACATCCTTGCCCCAAAGGTGAGGTCAAGACCAATGGAAGAGACGAATCATCTGTGCTGGTCTTATCACTAAGCCTGTAGTTCGATGCAGCTACATCCGCCGCACCAGCGCCTCCCTCCTCAGCCTCCCCTCGCTTGTCGCACCACCTTCCCTGATCCTTTCAGCATCCTATAAGCTCCACAAGTTTCCCAGTCACTCAATTCACCTCCAATTTCTTTAAGCATCCTACACATAACCACCTAGAATGCCATCCCCAAATCTCCGACCGTGCAAAGTCCTCATCGCCGGGGGCGGCATCAGCGGGCTCACCCTGGCGCTGTCGCTGGAGAAGCACGGTATCGACTACCTGCTCCTCGAGGCATACCCGGACTTGGCCCCGCGACGCGGCGGCGGCATCGCCGTGATGCCGAACGGCGCGCGCATCCTAGACCAACTGGGCTGTTACGAGGACCTCTACCGGCGCGCAGGGGACAGCGCGGCGTCTCGGCTGTATCTCCGCGGGCCCGACGGCCAAGTCCTGGCCACCGTCGATCACATCGACAAAGGCTTGACAGAGAGGTAGTGTCCCCCCCTCGGGACTTTTCTACTCAGTATATCTCAAATTTGCTCCAAATTTCATCTAATGTGAACACTCGCACAGACACGGCTACCCAATCATCTGGGCCGACCGCCACCACCTCCTGCGCACGCTCCACGACCACATCGCCGACAAATCCAGACTCCTCCCGAACAAACGCATCACCGGCGTACACCATACTCCCGGGGGCGTCGAAGTCACCACCGCCGACGGCAGCACGTACCGAGGCGACATCCTCGTCGGCGCGGACGGAACCCACTCGACCGTGCGGCAGGCGATCGTCGCGCGGGCCACCGAGCTAGGCCTAGGGAAGGAGTACTCCGAAGAAGAGCGTAGGCGTCCCCCTCCCCCAGCATCGTTCCTCAATTCTGATCATCAGGGATGAAGAAATCCCCTCCACCTACGACTGCATCTTCGGCCTCTCGCCTTACCACCCAGGTCTCTCGCAACAAGAAGAAGAAGAGAGCACCCTCCAATTCATCCTCGGCGACCACCAGTCCTACATCGTGGGCACCTCCCGCCCCGCCAACCGCACTTGGTGGTTCCTTGCCATGAATCGGGGCGCCATCCACCACGGGGCGGAGATTCCGAAGCACGATGCCGCAGATAAGGAGCGGGTGCTCCGCGCGCATGCAAACGATCAGATTACCCCGACTGTTACGTTAGCGGATCTACTGGATGCCGGCCCGGTGGAGACGGTCTACACGCCCCTGCGGGAGTGGGTGTACTCGCGGTGGTATCTGGGGCGGATGGGGGTGGTCGGGGATGCGGCGCATAAGGTGAGCTTTCTCTTCTCTTGGCAGTCTGGTCGAAAGGCGTGTGGTGAATGGGGTTGAAGTGGGCTAATCAAGATACTCTTCGGGATGGGGGTAGATGACGACGGTGCTTGCGCAAGGCGGCAATCAAGCTTTCGAAAGCGCGGCCGCGATGACGAATAGTCTGGTGAAAATGCTGGCAAATGGGAAATGTGGGAGAATGACAGACGGCGAGATTGAGGCGATGTTCGAGGAGGTGCAGGTAGGACGTGCCCCGAGAGCCACAGAGATGATGGAGGCGTCCGGCAAGAAGCAGCGGGCGGATGCGATGGAGACGCCGGAGCTGAAGCATTTCTCGATGAATGTGTTTCCGAAGATCATGGCGGAGGGGGCGTTTCGGCGGTGGAAGGAGTACTTGGTCGGGGCGGTCTCGTTGCGCGGGTTGCCGACTCCGTGTCGGAAGAGGGCGGTGCCGTTTGATGATGAGGTGGAGTGTGGGGTGGAGGGGCTGGGGAGGGTGGTGGCTAAGTTGTAGAGGTGAATTGGATTGGTCTAGATGTTGGGCTGGGCTGGGCTGTTGTGGTCCGATGGGTTGTCGTCGATGAGATGTGGACAATGGCGGGGTACCGGTAGGGTTGGGGGCATCAGGTGATCCTCTCCATCATGAAGGAAGAAGGAGGTCTCAAGGACTGACGATATGTCAGTGCTGGAATGGTTCCTGATCCACATTAACTTTCATTGAAGCCTAAAGCTTATTCCGGGTCGTGACGTCATGAATCTTTGACCCCGTCCTCATTTGACAGACTTCTGTAACCTCATCTCACCTCATCCCATACCGAGATGTTGCACCACCACCCAAACCAATGAGCACCCCGCTGTTCGTGGCCGAGGAAGTGCTGTGCACCTACCCCATCAGCACAGTGTACGACTCGTGCCCACGCTACCTGTTCTATGCTCTCCTGCTAGCCACCTGCGTGACCCGGTGGACGGGGTGGCTCTCCGACGTCTTCCTTGGAGCCGCGGCGACCTACGCGGGAACCGCGGCTCTAGAGGCCTTCATCCTGGTCTCAAGCCCAGCGCAAGATGCTCCCGCGAACCCAGTAACCCTCCCCTACATCGCACCCAACGACACAGCCCTCCTAGCCAGCCTGACCCCGTCCTTCCCCAGCCTGATCACCAACACCACCACCCTCCCCATCACCCCGGCGACCATCGACCTGGACGCCGACGCCGTCCTCGCGATTGTAGTGACCGCCTACCTGATCTTCCTGCCCCTGCAAACCTGGTCCCGGGCGTTCACGCACTCCCGCGCGCGCTTCATCCTCTTCTCCCTCTGGCACGCCCTCATGCTGGCGGGCACGGTCAGCGCGCTGATCTACTGGCCGCGCGTGCGCAACACGCCCACGCAGTACGCCTTCTGCGCGCCGGACTACTTCCCGCCGGAGGACACGGTGTCCAGCGACGGGTGGCAGGCGTGGCAGCGGCAGACGCCGTCGTGGAACAGCAGCGTGTGGGCGATTTTTAGCAACACCACGCTCTTCAACTCGCTGCCGACGGTGTGCTACTACCCGTGCTTCAACACGACGCAGCCGCTGCGCCAGCAGTCCGCGCTCGAGGCCTCCGTCGCCGACAGCGCGGCCGCCCACACCGCGCGCTCCGCCTTCTGGTCGCGCATCCTCTACTCCGAGCGCTACATCTACAGCCTCATCGGGCTGACCCTGGTCGTCAACGTTGTTCTCTTGTTGTTCCGGTGTCTGCCGTACCGCTCGCGCATCCCCTCGTCGCGGGTGCGCACCATCTGGCGCGAGCGCGCAGCCATCGCGCAGGGGTTCCGCGCGGACTGGTTCGCGGTGGTGCATCCGGCTTCGTTCACAGACCCCAAACACATGACCACCCCCACTCCCGGGGATCGCGCCTCGACCGGGAAAGCCGAGGCACGCGAGAAGCGAGGAAGCGACAGCATCCTCGAGAAAACGCGCGCCACCCTCGCGACCGCCACCGCGACCCCGCACACCATCACCTGCCTGCTGCACCTGCACACGCTCGGCTCCCTGGTGCGGCTGCTGCTGGACCTGTGCATCCTCTTCGCCGTCGGGTTCAGCATCGTCATCAGCCCGCTGACCGTGCTGGCCTTCGTCGCCTGGATCGAGTACTACATCCACGAGGACGGGCCGGCCCAGGAGACGCCCAAGCAGGTCGGCCAGTGGGCGCCCCTGGCGTCCATCGGGTTTCTGGTGGTGTCGGCGGGGATCCTCAAGTTGAAGGTGTGGGTTGCGCCGCGGCGGGAGATCGATTGGGAGATCGAGCAGGTCCGGGGACGGCTGAAGCGGTTGGAGGGGATGATGGTCTAGGTTTTAGGCTTTAGCTTTCTCCACTGGTGAATTGAGGCAAACGGGGTCTTTTGTAGTGCAGAAAGCTAATTAATGAGTGGGCTGGAGTGCATGCTCCAGCGCTCGCCTTGTCTGTATTATACTATCCTCTCTCTCTGCCAAAAAAGGAGTCAGTAGGATAACCCTAACCTCCACCCGTAATCTCCCCCTCCAACCGATCCGCCAAATCCATCAGTTCCCGGGGTTCCATCCCCAGCCCGATCGTCGAGTGGATCGCCAGATACTCCCATTCCCAGTCTGTGGTTGGATCGTGCACGTCCAAACCACTAACACCACCACCTCCCCCTCCCGCCTCCGCAACGCCAGGTTCATGAACCTGCTGTCCCCCCTGCCGCTCCATCTCCCCAGGCAAATCACCACCCTCACCACCACCAGCAAAAGGCGTGATCGGCCCCATCATCACGCGCAGATTCTCCAGCTCCGCGCGCCGCATCGGCGCCGCCAGGTTCCCCCGCGCGACGATCTTCTCGAGCACGCAGTCGATGTGCTCGGCCCAAGGGCTTTCGGCGGGGATCAGGGCCGGCGCGATGGCCTGGATGACGTAGAGGATGAAGGCGGAGGCGAAGGCGTCTTCGATCTGGAAGGGGAGGAAGGATTCTTTCTCACTCGTGTTAGTATGCGCCCTTGGTGTGAGCATTGGTTGGGTTTGAGGGGTTGGGGGATACCGATGAGATCCTCGTCTGCGAGCGTGCGGAGAGTCTGCAAGACCGTCAGCGCGGACTCGACGCAGCACTGGAGCAGCGAGGAGACGGTGGCGGAGAGGCCGATGGCGGCGCGGGATGGGGCTCGCTCGATGTGCGTGTGCAGCGCGCACATGACTAGGGGTCGGGTGGTGAGGACGATGCTCTTGCAATCTTGGTCAGTGTCTTTTTTCGGTGGGGTGTTTGATTTGGGAAGGAAGATTTGTTGGGGTGGAAAAATAGGGAATTTACATGGTGATACCCCAGGACCAACCGCGTCGCTGTCCGCGACGCCCGGCTCAATGCCGCGGGGAACTCGGCGTTCAGGAACCTGGTGAGATCCTGCGAGAGCTCGGCCAGGTTCCGCAGGATGGCCTGCGTGTCTTTGATCAGGGTGCCGGTGGAGTCGGGGCCCACGCCGTAGACCGCTAGAGGTTTCATCGGTCAGGTAACGGAGAAGAATGAAGAGGATTGGGGGTGGATGTACTCGTTAGAATCCTCGCATTGAGTCTGGCGAGGCGCACGTGGAAGGTGATCGTCTTCTCGTCCACCGAGCCATCGCTGTACAGCCGCACGGTGATGTCCTCGTCGCGGATGGAGCTGGGCGCCCCGATCAGGGCGGCGAACTCCCGGTCCAGCATGTAGACGATCCAGAAGATGGTCCGGCAGCGGTGCGAGAACTCCGCCCCGTCCAGCTCCTCCGGCACGTGGCGGTGGATGCCTTCGATGATGCAGAAGCGGAGGGCGAAGCCGATCTTTGTCTGTCAGCTGATGGCACATTGGCGGGTGAACGGGGAAGGGGGGAAACACACGTGCTGAAATGCGGCGACGCGCATATCGATCGACTGGAAGTACAACGCCGCGAGCGTCAGGGTGCGGATGCACTGCAGCGGGTCGGGATACGTCCCCGACAAGTCCGGCATCAGGGACATCGCGCGCGCGGCGTACTGATACCCCGACGGCGGCGCGTTCGGCGGGTGATTCTGTGCCAGGAAGGCTTTTCCAAAAGCGAGGACCAGAAGGTACTGTGCGTACCACAGACGCATTGATACAACTTTCGTGGCGGGATCGGTGTAGAAGTCTTGCAGGTGGCGGAGGAAGGAAGGGCTGTCGATGATGTAAAACAGTGTCCCCAGGTAGTACTTGACGGTGTGGAAGAGATACAGCCCGTAGTCGATCGGGGGTAGGTGGCATACTTCCGGTGACTCGTCCATCGGCAGAGATCGCCATTTCAGGGCAAACGCTGAGGCGTCGACGTTCCATGGGTCCGGGGGACAGTTGGCGTCGGGGACATGCTTGCCTAGCAGGGAGAGCACGCGGCGACAGAAGGACCAGGAAGATGTAGGGCCCATATACCCTATCCTGTGTTAGCGCTACTTGCTCAAATCGTGTGAGGGCAGCTCACAGAATCTCCCGTCCGGGGACTGCGCAAATGAGTATTCTACCAGAGGATTTTTCGAAAATGTCGACCGCAGTCCATCTCTTTCTGGTTGGGAATCATGCTCCGATGGGGCTGCCGACAGTGTCAATACGAAGAATTCAGGAAGGAAGAGACGACCTACGGTTGGCCTCGACATGTGATTGAAAGCCTGAATACCCCTCTTGTTGCTCCAGAAGCGATGGATGCGAAAAGACAAATGAGTCTCCGTCTTCGGTCGAGTTGCGTACATCAGTGTAACGCACAGCTGCAGCCGCACTATGGCGACGCTCGAGATCACGGAGGTAGCTGCATTCGCGCCATCAGCCACATACTAGAAGATACAGTTGTAGCTGTCAGGTCACCTCTCTGGCACCGAGACCCTTGCCTCCTCCACTGCAAAGTGGCAAGGTTTCTTGGTCCGGGCACAGCGCGTACAGGGATTTGTCCCGGAGCACTTGACCTTCATGGAACGACATCGTACGCAGCTTCACTGAATTAGTTCATATCTTCGCCTGACACAACAGCTAGACTCACGCCTTCTGGCATTTCTTGTAGACCTTCGATTGCTCTGAACTGCGAAGAGACATGTCGATAACAACGTATCGGAGGTTGGTTCCGATCAGTTGATGCGCGGAGAGAAAAAGTCGGACGAGGCCGGAGCCTGAGGCCGAGAGGAGATCGCTGACTAATGCATGAGGGCGATTGCTGGTTCGACTACATAAAACAAAACAAGACCAAGAATACCTACGTGGAAAGACACGAGACTAGCTAGAAGATGAACGACAGAACTATACGGTAATTTGACATCTGCTTATCTCTGGGATACCAAGTGCACTGAAGCGCTTATCATACGGAAGCCCCGATCTCGGAGCGGCCATCCGAAACCCCGCCGGAGATTCCACCAACATTCGCAATTCTGCCACTTCCCTCGATGATTCATTCACCCAACCATCCGACACACACAACCACCCCAACACATACACAAAATGGCTCCTCAATCAACACTAGCGATCATCGGCTGCGGTACCAAGCTATCTCTCACCCC